CATTTCGGCTTTTGTAAGGTAAAATGTGTATTTTTTACTAATAGAATTGACATTTAAAAGACAAAAATTCTAAAAACTATAGCTTCGGCCTCTGTATCGATAATAATGTCTATTTCAATAAGATTTTCCAAATAATAGGTATTTAATGTACAGATTCGGCTTAGTTATTATTTTATTATATGTATAGATAAATAAAATAAAAAAAGTTAGCTGTCACTGGATACCCGACAGGTGTAAAACATCTACATATTATGTTAATAATATTAGTTATACATAATTTATAAAAACCTATAACGAAATATGGAGTAAAATTAAGAAAAAATAAATAAATAAATAAATAGTTTCATTAGTAAATTCAATTTATTTTTCTTATTATTCTAATAATAATAATTATTATTATTACAAAATTCTCATTTAAATATATAATATTAAAAAATAAATTATTATTATTATTATCATATAAAAATATAAATTATTTATAAATAAAACTATCTTTTCGGATTATTTCGCGGATTTATTTTGATTTTTGATTCTCGACGTTTCGAATGCTTTACAGCATCCATGGTCACGGGAGAGACTCTCCCAGCAGTCTCAAAAATCAAAATAAATCCGTGAAATAATCCGAAAAGATAGTTTTATTTAAAAATGTCAAACATTCGCGTAAATCTAAGAAAGTATAATATAAATTATTATTCATAAATATAATAGAAAATATGTAAGTATTTTAATGTAGACTGTTTTACAATGGAGCAAATGTTCAGTGTAATATACGCACACACACAAGGGAATCGAGAGCGGTGACGTACGAGTACAGCGTCACGCCGCCGATTCCCGTCACACCAGGAGTCGATTTTACTGCCAAGGCGCGTCAAGAGACGTTTCACATCAATTAATTAAATTATTATCTTTTTATGAAAAATTTTTTATATAAAATAAGGACTTATAAGTTTCTTAAGATGTAATGGTGAACGTGAGCAAGAACGCGAACAATATCTGGTACCGCACAATTTCCACAATGCACGGAGGACGCGAGTCCGGCCAGAACCTGTCCGAACTCATTAACCTGTCCCTAACTAATTATTATCAGCAGACTCTCTCGCGCCAATTTATTGCACGCTGCAAGGACGTGCCGCATCGACCGATATTGCCTTACCTATAAGTCGAGACTCCTACATGTAGATATTTGACCGATTTCAGAAAGAAGAAAGTATGTACCTACTTAATGCGCAATTATACAAAAAAACGTTCTATTATGCTATTACAAGCTTCTTTATTCTATGATTTTCAGAATAATAATGATGAATTAATTTGACAAAAAATATAGACAAATTTTTCCACTCAGTTTTTCAACATTGGGAAACAATGTTACAATATAGTTAGCTAAGTTATCATAGTGGTTTCAGTCAGTTCAAAAGTCGCTTCTTAAGATTACTACTTTACTTCTACTCGTAAGTAAGTAATAAATATATTCCCATATGTTTCACTTACAGGCAGCATATCTCTCAAGGTAAAATAAACCGGTCGATGTGCAATAAGCAATTATTTTTAAAATAGCCGGCTAAATCAAAAATATTCTGCTCTAACGATACCCCGACGTGGGGAATGCGCCCTGAGTCGATGAGGCTGCGCGTGAGTGGAGGACGCTGCAATATCGCACAGCGAGACTGTCGACTACAGACACCGGACGGATGCTCGCGCTTGAAAACTAACATCCCACACACTTTGTTGCTCTTTAAATATAAATTATTTCACTATACTCTTTATTGCTATTTTAAAGTTAGCGATACAATTGATATATTGAAAAATGTTGCATAGTTAGAATTATCTTCAAGAGAGATCTCTTAGGGTCCACCTATACAAGGGCATATTAATACAATATATAAGTTAAATAATTATAAACGGTGCAGTAGGAATATATCGCCTATTGTAAAGTGCACGCTACTGACAGCTTCTAGCATTTTTTCAGAAAATGAAAAACAACTAATACTACTACTAACAGCTAATAGCCCAAGGAAATCATTTGATGTGACAAGATAAAAAGTAGCTCAGCTTACTCTCAGTGTTTATAAATCTTTTGCAAAAACCTAAGTTGATACATTTGCTACATTGTTGCGAGAAAGAAGGAAAAACATCAAGCACATTAATTATAGCTATACTAATAAGGTACTAAGTATGGACAATACATATTGCATATTAATTACTTCTTATATTATATATACAGAATTATTTTCATCATTTAAAGTGATTCCTTTTTTTTCTTTAGTTTTTGAGCAGCGCCTTTAGATAATACTGAACTATCTTGTATTAGTAAATGGCATCATCGACTTGTATAACAATTTTTATTTAGATTAGAGAATGGAGGCTTTATTGTTTCGTTACTTACTTAGTTGCAATTTTTTATTAAATCTTACAAGTTTTGAAAGTTTAAAAAATATATTCTAATTTTGATAAATTCTTCATATGAAACCAGATTAGTCAAACATGTCAGCTCTATTGAATATATATATATATATATATATATATATATATATATATATATATATAGCTTTTTTTCAGAAGTAGAAATAACTTTTACTTGCCTATTTTAGTTCCTTCAGTACGCTCCAATAGTACTAATATAAATTTTTGGTCGAAGTATACCGCGCAGACAGGGGTGGGTAAGGGATAGCGAGGGGGAGGGGCGTGCATCGAGTGTGGCGGTAGAGATATAATTGGCAGAGCAGCGGCGCGCACGCAACTCGAAAGCTCCACACGCGATCCTTAGCCTACTCGACGCTGTCTCTACGTACATCGCCAAACTGCACAAGCTTAGCTATTTATTATAAATAAACACAATTTCTGTTCTAAAATGTATAAAGGAGAATAACGGATTAAATAAATAAATTGACAAACAAAGAAAAACTTTCAATTTAGGTTGTCATAGATATTAGTACACATAGATATAATATTAGATAGTATATGTAGCATGAAAGTCGAGTATGTTCCTTTGTGGCAAAAATTAAAAATTTACAAGATATATTCGCAAATAAATAACAACAAAAATAATAACCAATCATAAAAAAGGTAACTTAGTAAATTATATGTTAAAATTAATTATTTAGTAAAAAGTAAAATAATTAAATTCATAACTACTGTACAATTTATGTCCGCGTGGAACAGTGGGATGAATACTAGTCGCATTCCCACGCTTAGTCGATTGGCATTGTCGATTCTTTGGGTGAAAAACGAGCCAACTCTCCTATCACCAGTAGATACTATGTTCCTAAAGATCGGAGGTCGGAAACATACAGGTTTTATACTTCCTGTGACTCTTGCTACATGTATCTGTCACTGACTGCATAACACTATGTTCCGTCATCAAGTTCTTCCCATTTTTCTTAATGATTTCTTTGATTCAGCTATTGAATTTTGGTGGTTGTTATTCTTAATTGTTCTTCTATACATACAATAAAATTCACATATGGGATACTTTTTACCGCGGGAAAGTATCTAATTTCTTAGAAAAATACAAGAACTGCAATGTAAAAGTATACTTATAGGTAAAACCTAAGAATTTGGTTTTTGGTCATCTGAACGTGGGCGGAGCCGCGAGCGATGCTAGTAAACTATAACTTATATAGTTATTGATCGAGCGAGTAAAGCGTCTTTGCTTCAAGCCTGGCAAAATTTGCTTTCCTCTCTCAGTTTGTAGGTACTCCTCTACAGCACGGTAATATATGCATAACATTACCGTGTCTACAGGTCGTATTATATAACCGATCTGGACGAAACTCTATATACAGATTTTTGTTGTCGAGGATATTTGATTGGAGCGGTACTTCCCCTAAAATAATTAATACCCACATACCCAATGACATGACGTTATCAAGATGAATCTAAAGAAGTATGTAAGTATCAAAATTGGATAAGTAGTTGCGTGGAAACTTAGGGTCCGACGGTACATCTACATACATTCATACATACATACATACGTACAAGTATAGGTCAAACACATAAACCTCTTTCGGGCTTTACCGCAGTCGAATAAAAACTGATTTATCGTATTTCCTCAAAAAGATCATTAATAATTAGGAAACCCAACTCAGTTAAAAAAACTCCCATCGTGACAATAACAACTTTTACAATAAAAACATTTACCCTGTGGCCCTTTCTTTACGTTTACGTCACTACAAGACATTGCCCCTTCATACAATTATACGTACACTATCGATGTATATATACTTGCGTATTCAGCCCTTCACTGCTGAGCTGGGCCTCCCTTTAATGCGAGGGGGAGCAGGCTATAGTCCGCCACGTTCGCCAATTGCGGGTTGGCGGACTTCACATGTCTTTCAAAAACTTGCTAGGTTCTCTCAGACATGCAGATTTCCTGACGATGTTTTCCTTCGCCGTCAGTAAGTGGTAATCATGTTAGAAATGATTCGCACATGAAAATATCAGAGGAGCGAGATCCGGGATTTGAATCCGTTTCACTCGGTTTCCCAAGCGAGCGCGTTACCACTGGGTAACCACTGCCTTGAGAATACGTATATACTTACAAAGTGAAAAATAATAAACCTCTCAGACATACTTCCGATCGTACATATAGGTAAATACTCGTAATATCAACAAACTGGCGCAAACAAACAGTCTCATATGCTTTGTTTATTTTTCTATCTAATTACACGTTACAGAGCACTCAACGGCAGCTAATCTGGTATTAGCCATTTAATAGTTTACCTAATGTGTAGTTTTTTACAGGTTACTTCCTAAACATAATTAAGAGATCATCGTCTAATAATGCGCTGTCTGCGAACATTACTGACAAATGCCGAGAGCCTCCCCGCCCACCGCGTGTTTTGCTGCAGACCTACTATTAAGGGTTGCTTGGTGGAACGAAACCGACAATTACATGAAGTATAAAGCATCGAAAATGGCACTGCCAAGTCATTTTAGAGGCAAATCGTACCAAGTGCCGGTTTGAAGTAGATAAAGCAGAATAATATTATTTAGAACAGAGGATGGTTCGATGGATGTTGGAGGTACTGCTGGCGTGCGGTCTCCTGGCCGGTCTTCACGCGAGTGTGGAAGTGATAAAAGACGTCACTCTGGGATTTGGTGAGGCTCTACAGCATTGTAGAGAAGAAGTAAGTTTCGGATAATATATTAAAGTGTTAAAAATTCTTTGCAATGTATAATTATGATATTGGATCTATTTCTGTATTTCATACTTCTAAATAATATAAGAAATTTTAAATAAATCGATTTTTGTTCAGGATATTTTCGCTGATAAATTTGGTTTTTGGTTCCCGATGTTTCGAATGCTTTACAGCACTCGCTCGCGTGACCATGATTACTGTAAAGCATTGGAAATGTAGAGAGTCAAAAATCAAAATAAATCCGCGAAAAGATCCGAACGATACTTTTATTCTAAGTGACTGGAAATGTAGTTATGAACATACTAAATATAAATTTCTAAAGTTAAGCAAGTTATTGAAAAATTAATAATAATAAGACGCAGTAGCCGTTAGACTATACATGTAGCAGTGTACATACATACGATATTACGGCTCTCTGGCACGTACCTTAGTACTCTCGCGCATGAAGTTGCAATAATGAAATACTTTTCAACTAACTTAGAATTTACTATCACAATTATAATTATTGACCAATTATTATTTTATCCTACCAACTATTTTTTTTTATATTGGAACGTCTTTATCTTTAAAATAACAACGATATCCATTTTATTATTATTCATAACAAGCTCGATATGAGTAGATAAAACTATAACTATTTCTAAATACCTATATACATATAGTATATTTCAAATTACTTGAGATGTTATCACATCTCACATATATCTATACCCATAAATAGAATCGAAGTGTCTGCCTGTAATGTCAAAATAAAAGCTTTTTACTAAATAAATTCATATGAAATTGGTTATATACGTTACTTATAAGAAAAATACAACTTTTAAAATGTTTATCCATGTGTCTGTTCCAACTAATTTTCGAAACGGATGAACTGATTTTGACGGGATTTTCACTGGTAGACAGCTGATGTCATAAGGTGTAACTTAGTACTTTTATCTTAGAAATAGAATTAGGGTTCCGCTCAAAAATATTAAAACGTATCTATCCCTCGGACGCCCCTTTTTTTTTTTTAACGTTGGGAAATGCATTTACGCACGAAGTGTGGGACTCACCGGCGAAGCCAGTACTGCCCTCCCGAACCTAAAGTGCAGTAACAGCAAAAACACGAATTCGAGAAAAACGCGCCTAAAGTTTAGAATCCATAAAAATATATCAAAAAGAGACTTTTCGATAAAACCTTGAATGGAAAGTGAAAGAATATGTACCGAACTAAAATACTAAACATTGTTACGTTAGTTTTTTTATAAAAAACTATAATTATGGCAATTTTAATTTTTTAGCCCCTATTACTACACACTATTTGTATAATCTTTTCAAAAACTGTTTAAAATGCAGTAAATCCTGTTATTACTGCATTTTAGACATTTCTTCCATGATTGTTACTAACTAAAGTGCAGTAATATTATGAAAATACTGCTATTTAATCTGTTTTTTTGAACAAAACACTGATATTCCACACTTATAGTAATATAAAACTACCTTTAATTTTGATAAAAATATGTAATTTCTTAAACAAAACTGGACATGCATTTATGACTATGCTATTAAAACTATTCATCAAAACATTGTACATTATAATCTAATAGTGTAAATTGTTTTATATGACTAACAATATAACAATCTTTACAAGATTTTGATAATCTTAACTAGTTAATCCACCATAAAACTATATCACATGTATTTCTCATGCATGGATCAATAAAATTTAAATAAAATCTTTCTTCTGAACATAACTAATTACTAAATGAGTATTCTTGTCTTAAAAAATAACAGTCTGAAAAGATTATGGAAGGGAGAACTAAGGAGAATTAACTTATATGGGAAACAAGTTGAAAAAGTTTCCAGTAGTGAGCAGCAAATTATAGCTCAGAAACTCACCGTTACAGCACTAGCGTAGCAAGTAGATGTGATGTGAAGTTAGTAGTTTTTAACGGAGTGAAGTGTGCTGATTTATTATTACTTGAAAATAATATATAATTAATTATATTGTATGTCGCTGTTTGCCTATGCTAGAACTATTTTGAAAAGTGCGCCACAGCAAAGCGGATATCTTTCTTTCCTTGTTTAATTCACCTTCTTACTTTTATGACGCTATGTTTTAAACTAGCGACTCACCCTCGCCTCACTCGGGTTCGTCCCTGGATACTTTTTTTTTTGAGCGGAACTCTAATTCTTTTTTTTAAATAAAAGTAGCCTATATTACTCCCTATAACATCAGTTACCTTCCACTGAAAGTCCGTCAAAATCAGTCCAGCCGTTTCAGAGATTATTCGGAACAAACAGACGGACAAAAAAATTTAAAAAGTAGTTTTTCTTACAAGTACCGTATATAATTTCATATGCATTTAGTAAAAAGGTTTATTTTGACATTACAAACAGACACTACAATTTTATTTATCTGTATAGATGTATAGATTCATATACTTGTTTTCTGTGGCGCCACGAATGTAATGCTTGTCAGCGGTCACTTTTTATACGAGATAGATTATAGTTCACCTTAGTTCTACCCTCCATATCTCTTTGGTACACACACAGCATGGCACGTCAAGTCAGCCTTACGCCACAGATTAAGGAGACTGCCTCAAACCGCGATATTGCCTGTCCTGTGTTTTAATATTTTAATAATTTTACCTATTAAAACGCAGTATTAGGGAATAGTATTTGACTTTAAGTATTTTAGGTAGTTTGAATTGCATGGAGCAAACTAATTAATATGCAGTAAAATTTATAAATATTGTAAACTAAATGGTCTTTTACAAGCAACTACAAAACATCCTACAAGTTAAACTGCAGTAAAGTTATTAAATACTGCATGTCTTTTAGTTTTTCACAAGAAATTACAAAATCCCCCACAAGTTAATGTGCAGTATGGAATGTTAATACTGCACTTTAATTAGGAATATATATAAAAAATATTTTTTCTTAACCTTTGCAGTGTAATCAATTTGTATAGAGTCAAATAATACTGCATTTTAATAAGTTTTTTCTTGAATCTCCTAGAACAAACTACTATTTTAAGTGCCACAAAATATGATAAAACACTGCAGTTTAGTTAGAAAACAGAGAAAAATCTTGTGCAGTATTAATTATACTGCGGTTTAGCTGGTAAACACGGAATATTTTAACAGATTTGTGATATTTTTGCTGTTACACCTTCCGAAAAAACATTAAAATAAAATACTTTTATTAGCGCTACAGAAAAAAGAATTAATTTGACTAATAGCTACTAAAATGGGGATTTAGAATATATATTTAACTCAAAACCGACCAAAATGTCTATTACTGCACTTTAGGCTCAGGTGGGCAGAGTACTACCCACTAAAACCCAACAAAACCTTCCCCCGTCTTAATGGGGCGTCGCAGGATCGCTTACGCATTCAACTACGACGCCCCGACGGCAGGTCTGCCGAAGCAGACCACAACAACCATGGGGTTGCTCCACGGTCCACTCTGCTATCAGAGAAGTACCAGGAGCAACCCACATGGTACACCACCCTCCGAAGAAGGCCGCCTCCCACCGCCCACCGAAGCGGGCCACCTCCCTGTGCGTTTCTTGGCTTCGCGAGTACACTACTGAGCCCCCCCACCACGACAAGGTGAACGCACGTTGGGGGGGATCCCTCGGACGCCCCTGAGCGAACCGAGGGTAAGTCGCTAGTTTGAAATAAAAACAAATATAATGAACAATCCCTCAAATTAGGTATTTTCACAGTGAAATAACCTAACTGAAATTATACATTTTTATTTACGTAGAGTCAACTATCAGAAGACAAGATGGAGCAATTCTTCCACTTCTGGCGCGATGACTTCAAGTTCGAGGACCGGGAGCTTGGCTGCGCCATCAAGTGCATGAGCTCGCACTTCAACCTACTCACCGACTCGCATCGCATGCACCACGAAAACACGGACAAGTTTATTAAATCCTTTCCGAACGGTAGCTCAAATCAGTTATCAATAATAATTATTATTATTTTATATTAATATTTATACCTACTTATAGTATAATAACAACGTATCCTCGGTTCGCCCGGGTGCGCCATCTACATAGGTACGTTTAGAATTAAATAGATAAAAAACTTATTCTGAGTTTGCCTTAGGGCTTAGGAGATACATACATTCTATTGCTGACTATTCTGTAGGTCTTTTTCTCACTTACAATTTTCAACCGACTTCAAAAAGAGGAGGTTCTCAATTCGAATGTATTTTTTTTTTCTTTTTTTTTATGTTTGTTACCTCAGAACTCCGTCATTTATTAACCGATTTGGAAAATTTTTGTGTCGTTTGAAAGTGTATACTTCCAGATTGGTTCCATTTAAATTTCAAAAAAAAATACCACCCCTAAGGTTGAAAAATTGCTAATGATGAATTTAACCTACTTCTAATTGTCATATTGACTTGAAACTTTGCAAGTGTTTCTATTTCCGTTGATAGTACAGTGGTTCGGTATTGTTGACCTGATCTGATGGTAAGGCCAGAAGGTGGATAGGTGGAACTCTTCAACGGCTAATAGTAGATACTTTGAGTTTGGGCTTATTTTGTTTGATTTGACAAGCCTAACACGTTAGAATTCTTACTTTGCTACTACTGTCTACACTAAAAAGGGAAAAATAAAAACTTTTTAACAAAAAAATAAAAACCGACTTCAAACAAAAGCACTAAAAAGTAAAAAATAACTGATTGGTAGTTTTCATTTACTATACATACCTAATCAAATATTTTCGAAGTCGGTGTGCTTTGGCTAAGTAATTAAAGCCTACCTATTTAATACATATGTACCTATCAAATATTTTCGAAATCGGTGCCAGCCCATACAAAGTAAAGCACACCGACTTCGAAAATATTCGATTAGGTATGTATAGTAAATGAAAACTACCAATCAGTTATTTTTTACTTTTTAGTGCTTTTGTTTGAAGTCGGTTTTTATTTTTTTGTTAAAAAGTTTTTATCTAGTATATTGTTTTGATGTATCTCTAAATATTTATTCAGCGTTAGCTTTGTAAGCGTATGAAAACAGTTTTTTGATAAAACACCGCCATTGTTCAGCCACGTTGCACAAAATATTTTTAAATTATATCCACAAAAACTTCCTTGTTCATCGCTCTTTCTATTGGTGAAAACTGTATCAAAATCCGTTGCCTAGTTGAGAAGAAGCAAGCGGATAAACAAGCAAAAGTAGAAGGAAGAAAGAAGTTTGTTGTATACTGTATTTAGATATGTGTAGGTATAGATAAGGTAGAGCAGAGCGACTGGCTTGCGAACTAAATTTTGTATTTTACCATGAAAATGAGAAATACTGCAATAAATTGTTAAATATGTGAGTTTTTAACCCTGCTAATAGTTAGTTTTTATCTCTTCTTCTTCTTCTGGCTTTTACTTATCCTGTATCGGTCTTACCTTGAAAATTCCTCTGATGTAAAGGTTTGGCACTTTATCTAGAAGGGTGACGACGGCAGACCACCTGAGCATTTTCATTTCGGCGACGTTAGTTTTTGTATAAATCATTAAAAAAATGTATGAAGGACAATTCGGCTGAACATTTATTATTTTCCCGTGGGAATGAAAGATTTTTCTGTAGTAAAAGGTATCCTTAATATTGAGTCAACTAATAAGTTATCACTTTAAAAAATCTAAATTAAATCCGTTCAGTATATTTTGCGTGAAATAAACACAGATATACAGACAAAGTGACAAAAATAGATTTCGCTATGTTATTATTTTATTACATAATCATACTAAATATAAATTTCGTAGTCTATACTATAATAAAACAGTAGAGGTCGAATATCTGTACATAGCAAAAAAATGCTGAAAACCGAGTCAGGGGGGTGTAAGAAGACAAATAGAACAAATCCAGATTTTTTTCAAATTTTTTGTTTCTCTGTCTGTTTGTCTGTTTGTACGGGCTAATCTCCGAAACTATTGGACCGATTTAAATGAAATTTTACATGGTGGTACCTTATATCCCCGAGCAACATTTTAAATACTTTAATCCCGGAAAATTAAATAGTTCCCGTGAGATAGTTAAAAAACTATAATAACATATACAACTTATGCACCTAATTTAGTGAAATTTAACATCCTGATACCTTATATTGCCGGTCAAACAACAGGTTACTTTACATCCGGGAAAAAGGAACGGTTCCCGTGGGAACTGATAGATCTCTATTAGTGTTTTTCTAGAGGCGAACCCGAGCGAAGTGAGGGTGAGCCCCTAGTATATAGAATATATAGATATATATAAATCCTTTTAAGTCTATTAGAAAAATATGGATATCAAACCAATCACAAATTATTGAATTTAAAACAAACAAAATGTTACTAAAAACGTAATTTAAGACCAATTAAAACTGTGCTGTGCTAATATTTATAGATTACGTAAACCCAGCTACGTAATTATCACTTGAAATATACCTTCATATTAAAACAAAAGACTGCTTGCAATTAGGTGAGATTCTGTCAAAGAAGATGGTAAACATCATCCATTCGTGCGAGCAACAGCATGACACCATGGACGATCACTGTTGGCGCATCCTGCGGGTCGCCGAGTGCTTCAAGCTGACGTGCCAGGGGGAGGGCATCGCGCCCACCATGGAACTGCTCATGGCCGAGTTCATCATGGAGGCTGAGGCCAGGTGAATGGAGCGACGGACGGGACACTTATACCTTATAGACACGTTAACTTATGATATTTTGTTGTTTTTCATAATGTAGTAGGTAATTAAGTAACAAGACAACCGACAAAATTAATTTTCCGAAGATAATATGAAAATTACATTCAATAGTTGCTGCACATTTTATAATTGTTAATACATAAACGATCTCGTATTGTTATTTTCCTAATTGTTAAACACAATTAAACCACATTTCCCACTGGGCAAAGCCCAATGGGCAGTTCGTGGAAAATAATAGTTTACATAGAAGATCTATTTATTAAATATGTGGTCGTACAATTTAATAATAATAATATTGCCCTTGTGCAAACCAGAATATGACTGGCACAATATGGTTTTTCCACGTATAGAAGGAAGCACTAAAACGCTTAGAAATTGCGTAGATAAATTTCTTAACAAAAAACCTTCAAAGGCATAAATAAGATATAAATTATAATGAGATAATTATATTTTATAAGTGAACTTTGTTAATTTAAAAATATGTATTCTATGTTTAATTAATATTGTTATAAGTAATATTAGAATAATAAGTGATGAATTAGTACGAAATACGCACAAATGCGTAAGTAAGCGATCTTTCTACGACTCCTGCTAGTTATACGGTGACGATTATACGAAGTTATTTAAAAACTAATAAATGAATTCCTAATGTCATACTTTTGTTTTTTATTCTCAAATGTAGAATGTACAATAAAATCTAAGCATCCGCCTATATGTAGATATGTGCTGTTGCCCGTCCGTTCTAAGGAAATGAAAACTATAGCCGATGCAAAGCAAATCTAATATATTTCGATACGTAAAATACATATTTTTTATTTTTCCATTTTTAGTGTAGACGTAATAAGCAGGTAATTTGTAAGAAGAAAGTTTTTTAATAACATATTCGATTAAGCAATTTATTTAAAAAATATATTTATTGTTGATTTTTTTAAAACCGCTCCATCGAATTCGATAAAAATTATATGGGACCACTGGGGAAGTATACCCTTTGAAACAAAAAAAAATCCAAATCGGTTTAGGCGTCTTCGAGTAATCGGTGAACATACATTAAAAAAAATCCGATGAATTGAGAACCTCCTCCTTTTTTGGAAGTCGGTTAGTAAATACAATGCTAAATGAAGGGTAATAGTGCAAAGTGTAAAATAACAAAAAATCAAAGCAGGCCAAGTGTGAGACTAAGAAACACTTCTGCTAGATCCTGGAGAACCTACTTGTACATTACTGGTTCTATTTTATTGCTAAAAAATATGTAACAATAAGTATATTACGTGATACGGGAAGCCTCGATGCGTGAATTCAATGCTGATTTGAAGCTTTGTTTAACGATTAAGTATCACAAAAGGATATATTTCGGAACTTAATTCACATTTTACCTAAGTAGACAACAGGGGATGTAGCTCAGTGGTAGAGCGTTCGCTTTGCATGTGAAAGGCCCCGGGTTCGATCCCCGGCATCTCCAAATTTTTAATATTTTTTATTTTTTTAATCAATAACAATTATTATTTATAAATGTGAAAAGATTTTAAATAAATATATTTCATAGTTTAATTGACGAAGAAACAATAACTAAGTACGGACTAACATAAGTTGCATGAACTTACTGTGGTCATTCTCAGTGTACAGTAAGGCTTTAATCTCAGCCACCGTATAATGTAGAGTTACAAATTGTTATAAAAATATTCAGCATAGACACATAAAATAAACTCAAAGTTACCTTAATATATATTGTTTACTTTTATATATTGTTTACTTTACAGTTTAGTTTAATTGTTAACTCATATTTAATGATAATAATAAAAGTCACTAAAAAGAACATTTGACCCCGACGTGATTTGAACACGCAACCTTCTGATCTGGAGTCAGACGCGCTACCGTTGCGCCACGGAGTCGATGCACTATACTGCGAATTTTATGAACTATTTTAGAATAATCAATTTCATCAATAAATACATTTTTAGATATTTAAAGGCATCCTGTTATTCTAGTCAGGAAATTTTACAATATAAACTAAATTTGTAATACATATGTATAATATTGACTCTATAAAATGATATGTTTAGTATTTTTTTAATATTTTTTTCAATTAGTGATAACATTCATTTATCTTAAAAAAAAAATAAGTTTAAGTAAAATAATTGCAATTTTACATAGCAGAAATTTACTGAGAAAATTCAAGAACATAACATAACACAAAGTCAGAAAGTCCATGTTCGATACTTTAAACATTTCTCGACACCTAGCGGCGTCGTCAGGAACTACTCGCGCGCAGGTAGAGACGGAGTTTCAGCCGCTAGATGTCGCTACAATACAAAATATTATATGTACCTATACCTATGTATTGTAGCGACAATTATTATTAAAAAAGGTAAGATAAGAGGAACTCTACACACAATGGAATTCATTATTTTTGTAATTTTAATTACCTTCTTTAAGACTCTATAGTAACCAAACCTAAGCGTTCAAAATTAGCATTTAGTTTTCACATAAAATTTGAATATCCAAAATCTATTTTATCCTACGATAATTAATTATAAACAAATGTTTATAATAAAAATACACCATTTCTAACATTTTCGTGCCATGTATTAGTTATTTAATCAAAGTACTTTTTTGGAGAAACTTTTAAAAGCATGTAGAGTTTATTCCTTTGCTTGCAAGGATTATTGTCTGGGGCTATTTAATACATTCTAAAAATTTCTCACAAATAGTGTACACTTATATTATGAATAAATAAAGTGTATAAGTTCGAATGTAAGCTGTAAAGTAGTACGTACCTACTAATAAAAAAAAAATTGGATGATTTGGGAAAAAATAAAATTGGAGCATAGTTATCGTGGGATTGGCCCACTTTATCAAATGATACTTTGACATTTTAAATTTTTAACAAATTGACTAGTTAAGGTTATGAAAATATAATAAAAATGTACCGAATTTTATTTATTTATTTAACACCAACAAGACACCCACTAACAAAAGCATAATAATATTATTACAATAAAATATAGTAAATTCTAAGTGCTGCCTTAATTACAGGTGTTACACACATTTTAAAAACATAGACACAAATACAATTAGTGCATTAAGCTACCTAAGCTATTTTTATCGGAACTTACGTGATCGATGTCATATTTACTAACCCCTGCACAACATTTATGACGAAATGGACGTAACAGTTCAGTTTTTTGATCTCTATAAAAAAACCAATGTTGTTGTGTAGAGTTTTTTTTGTTTTGTTGTGTAGATGTTTTGAGAATCTTCGTATTTTCGGAATATATAACACATTCTTTATTGTTACTTCAGTATATTACTAAGAGCTAATATTATCTATATACGACATTAATCCCTACAAAGATACTGTTGGCATTTAATAAGAAATGTTTACAAACTTCCATCGTAAAACTCGCGGAATTCCCTAAAGACATTTACGTACTAAATATTAATTTCTTAGTACACACTTAATAATTAAGTTAATTTAGATATTACTAATAAAACAATACTCGTAAAATCTATTAAGTACAATCATTTGAAAAATTAAATAATCACATAACTCATGAACATTTTTAATCAAGATATTATATATTAATATAATTTAAGTATTTACATATGCTATCAAATTTCTTGAATAATTATAATTGAACCAACGACCCACCCTCGCTTAACTCGGGTTCGTCCCTAAGTACGTTTTAATGTTAGTATGGGTGTCCCACGGGAACCGTACAATTTTCTGGGATAAAAAGTAATCTTAATGCTATATCAGACTATAATCTATCTCTATGCCAAAATTCAGATCCGTTCAGCCGTTCTGGCGTGGTTGAGTAACAAACATCCATTCATCCAAACTTTCACATTTATAATATACTAGCGACTCAACCTCGCTTCGCTCGAGTTCGTCCCTAACTTGCTTCCCCATACAAACATTCATCCCCATTTTCATGCCCTTAAGAGATGATTCCGGGATAAAAATATATAAATATTCGGATAAAAAATAATAATTCCAGGATAAATATATCCTATGTCCTTCCCAGGGTCTCAAACTATCTTCTTACCAAATTTCATCTAAATCGGTTAAGTAGATCCAGAGATTATCCCATGCAACGTCACAAACTCATAAACTTTACTTACCTCTTTATAATATTAGCATTGTTAGATTGACGAATAGTATTAGTTTTGTATAAGAGAAAAAACCATCTTATTAGAAATATCACTCACTAGGTTACGACACGGTCGCGGTTCCATACCTACGTGTATGTCGTATTATGTCTTTAACCATTTGTCCAAATTATATACAGTAAAAGGGAAAAGTCTTTTGTTTCAAACATTTTAGACGATAAATTTGCTTATTTTGATAAGAATTCAGAATTGTTGATAATATGACCAATAAACATGACCTACCTATTTAAATAATTTTTTTAATATAAAAAACTACTTTTTGTGACTCTATCGCTGACTTTTTTGTAGGCATTATTAAGCTCTACAACTTTTCTCTAGAACATAATCATATACCTATCTGTCATCGTTAAAGCAGCGTTCCTAAGAAACATTTTCGTTCGACCGTTTTTTCTCCGACTTACCTACTTTGCAAATCCGACTACCATGAAAAAGTCTTTCCATTCTTCGGGTTAATATATAGCCTATGATATTCAGAAAGAACGTGGCTTTGTATTGGTAAAAGAACTTTGAAAATCGGTTCAGTAGATCCAGAGATTACCCTCTACAACATCACAAACTCACAAACTCACAATATCACAAACTCACAAACTCACAATATCACAAACATGATCTCATTATAATATAGTATAGACTAGCTAATCACCCCCGCTTCGCTCGGGTTCGTCCCTAGATACATTTTAACGGTAAGTATAGAATAGACTCATCTATACTATAATAGAGCAGTAACTTAACGAAATCTGTACATAAAACATATTTTTTAAATAATGACTGTAACGTCTTATGTACACAATATAGACCTCAAACCAATAGTTATTAAATTTTTTGTCTGTTTGTCCGCTTGAGACTCCCTTACTTGAGAAATGATTGATTTTCCATTCAATCTTCCACCCCCCTTTTGACCCCCTTTTGTATGATATGTTTGCCGGGATGAAAACTATCCCATGTCATTCCCAGGGTTTTAAACTATTTTCAAGCGAAATTGTATCTAAATAAGTTCAGCGGATTTTACGTGAAGAGGTGACGGACAGACAGACAATGAGACAGAGTTACTTTCGCATTTAATATTAGTATGGATATATAAAGCTGGCTTTTTCTGTGGTGCTGTTCTATCATCATTGGCTTGGGCTGAACGTTGATAAGTCAGTCAGTGACTCGCGACATTGCCTTCTGTATAGGTATATTAAAAATAGTTATTACGACAATAGTTATATACTATTATACGGACTTTTCTGTAGGCCTTTTTAAATTTTAAGAACTACAATTTTCAAGAACATTGTTTTTAAAAATATATTTTATGTACAGATTTCGCTAAGTTACTGCTTTATTATAGTATATATTATCTATACATCTATACATATAATAAAATTCTAGCTAAGTCGAATCTGTACATTAAATATTTTTTGGAAAATCTTATTGAAATAGACATTATTATCGATACAGAGGCCGAATCTATAGTTTTTAGAATTTTTGTCTGTCTGTCCGTTACCGCATCAAAGAAAAACTACTCGAGGGATTTTGAAGAAATTTGGTATGGTCATAGCTGGCTATCCGGGTCAAGATATAGGATACTTTTACGGAAAAATATCTTATTTCTGGATTTAGTCTGGTTTTTGGTTATCAGAACGCGGGAGTAGCCGCGGGCAATGCTAGTGTAAAATAATATAATAGTAGTAAGATAAGATTTTCTCTATACTAGAGACTAGTTGTAATTTTATTTTGTAACAGTTAATTTCAAGCCAACAAGAGCTCCAGCAACTATGAATACTAGCCTCAAAATCGCTTCTAATCATTTTGCTGTTAATCTGATTCATAATAAGTCATCGTAGAGGCGTTGGAAAGCACCCGCAGCACCGCCAGATGTTTTAGTGTTGGGGTTTCCCATTGCATTCTCAGTTCTTTGTACAGGCAGTCACAGTACACTCGACATCATTTTAAATGGGCATTTCTGTGACGAATACAATGTCTAATAAAGTTGAGTTTAATATAGTCCAAAGTACTTTGCCTTGTTATGAAAGTCTCTGAACAGCCTACATCCTTGTCTGCAGATTGTACTATGACTCCCGATTTCATGGTAATATTCATAAAGTATTACTTTCACATATTTTAGAAGACATTGAGTTTTCATGTCTTCTTAATTACGTAGCGCGCTTCTGGTCGATACGTGATTAGATACTCACAAGCTGACTAAGAACACCGGGTCTTATCATGACCTTCCACTTTTTCTTTAGCTGGTGATATCAAAATTAAACCGAATCCGTCTGAGCTCGTTAAGCGCGGACATAAAGCTAAAAAAAACTTTGCATAAACTGTCCAAACATTTTAAACTAAGAACAAAATAACTTTGTGCAATTTTAATGTTATTGTTATATCTATATATTTATAAATAGACTTATATAATGTCAACAAAATGTACTTATGAATATAATATAATACTTACTTATTATGTGAAAACCTATATTAAGTTAAAAACCCGTCGCAATTAGATAAAAATATAAAATTAATATGTGATAGATATAACATATTTGATGGTGACTGTACAAGCAATGCTTATATATACTTAATATTAAACAGGGAAAACCAGTGATATACTAAGCTTCTGAAGATGCGTATCGCAATCGCGTTGCTGCTGGTGTGCGCTGGCGCGTGCTCTCTGCCGGCCGAGCGGAGCCAGGGGACTGTGGACGACAATTACCCGAATATAAATTTCAAAATTATTGACATTTTTCATGAAGACTCGACTTCAGAGGAAACAAATGAATCCAAAATGAAGAATGAGAAGATAGTATTACCAGAAAATTTAATTAGAAGAATTGTCATCACATCATCTCCCGAGGCAAAAAACGACGATCAAATATTTGATGATGTCGTGGAGTACGAGTTTGCTCTATTACCAAGGAAATAACAATTAAGTGAGAATATATATTTTGTGTTTTTACGCAGTATTGCGTGTAATAAATTTTACAGACTCTAAGACTTGCTTTCTGTGCTTGTTTGCTGGCAATTTGTACGCAGCACAATGTACCTATTCCAAATGTTTCTACTATAGGTATACATGTAAGTTGTTACTTATATTTAGGGTTATTACTACGAAAAATATTTATTGTTATTATTGTTAGTAGTAGCAAAATTTTGTAACTTTATCATAAATTTATTATTGGTATTATTATAGAGTAGGTATAAACTAAGAAGCTAGTGCTAAAAATATGTAAAATGAAATCTGTGTGAGATAAAAATAAAGTTGCTTGTCCTAAATTATTAACGCCCAGTTAATGCGATAGACCTAAAGGGCTAAAGTATTGGTAGCGTATTGCTATAATTTTGTTTCAGTGAGCTAACAAAGCTTTTACTACCAAGTTAACACAGCCCACGATAGCCCTGTACCGTTACCTGGACTTTCTATTTTCATTTACATATATCCTGTATAAATACCAATCATATTTGAGAGAATATCTTTGCCAAGTGTATTTTTGTCTATTAATGCATAGTGTATTCCACGGGAGACAAAAACTGTTTTTTTTTCTCTTTCGTGGTATATTCCATATTTATGATAAAGCAAGTTGTTTACTAGTAAATTTTGCTAAATATTTTTGTATCTTGGCGTACTTATTTTGATTCACCGTGGTGTGCTATGGAAACTTGAATACTATCTTTTACAATAATTGTTAACATCTTACTAACAGACTAAAAAGTCAAAGTCAAAAAGAGGAGCGTGATTTGTTGTTTATGCTACGAATCTCGATTTTGACCTACACATCGTTTCCTTTCCTTTAAAGAATGAGGGAAATTTTATAAAGGTATAAGTCGTTAATTTACAAATTTTGTTAAAATAATATGAATAATAATAATATTCTTTTGTATTTTATAAGCATTCCTCTTGTAATAGCGTAATATTAGCGTATTATTATAATAAAATCCGTTAGCTTTTTTATTTATTAACATTACTATAAACATATCGCAGTAATAAGTATTCTATAAATATTTGTAAACCGTTCTAAAACATTGTATATCTATACTAATATTATAAAGAGGTAAAGTTTGTGAGTTTGCGACGTTGTAGGGGGTATATATAGGTTAAAAGTTATATCATTTTTTACATAAATGGAAATAAATTTCAACTACATAGGAAAAAAGTTCCTAACAAATATCTATTCAAAAAGTGGCGTCATAGGTCACGTTATGTCAAACGAAAGAATAAAGCCCAAAAATCGTAAGTTCTGATTGTGTTAACACAAATTTGAACTTCGCGTATTTAAATTTGTCTTTCGAAATACCATTGCCTTCTGAAGTCAGGCGGAATAAAAGCCACATAGAGCAGGGCTTGGAATTGCCCATTCAATTTTTAAACCAGTTTTGGTCATTGACTCCAAACTGAAAGGCTTTTCGGCTTAAGGTTTCGGCTACATTCGTTAATCGGTTTTTGACGAATTTAGGTTCCATGGTCAAAATTAACTGGTTAAATTGAGTTTTCGTGCGTTTACTTTGCCAATAGTGAATTGCTTAATGGCAGGATACATGCACCTACGTTTCTAACATAAGAATGAACTAACCGGTTATATTTCGGTATCGAAACTGAAATCTAACCTTTCTCTTAGATTAACCATTAACCGTTTAAAGAAAGAGCGATGAATTAACCATAAGCCTGTTCAAAGCTCTGACATAGAGTAGTTGTTACAATAATTCTTTTATTTTCTAAGAAAAATTGCAATTTGATATTGCCACAAAAATTTCTATTATCATTAGGAAAGTGTATTAAACATATTGTAATGATTTTTCCCATTAAATATTATAAAAAATAATATACATAATGTAAAAATGAAACTTAATAGTGCATTAATTTCATCCAAATAAAACATTATGTACCTAATGAATTAATTGTTATAAATAAAAGCAGATCGATTTTTTATTTAAACATATTTAAAATAAATGAAATTAGTGCTAAATAAAAAAATATAAAAATAATTAAAAACGTACATAACGATAACGTCTACATTTAAATAAAAACAGAGTCATGTAATTAGTTTAGGAGATTATAATATTATGCTTTTTTTATAGCAAATAAACGACAATTAAAACATCGAAAATACGATCCATCGGCCATCCTTTTGAAGAACACTTTGACATTCCGGATGTCCGTTCAGTAGTCCACGCAATTCGAGAGTCGAGACTATTTGAAAATAGTCTCTCTTTCTTTAATGTTCTTTTGAGAAGCTGACTGTGTATCTCGAGTTCTTGTATGTAAATAATTATTGTTAAGGAAATATTTAACACATGAATTTACAAAAACATTACTTCAAATTTGTTAGATTTATAATATGCTATTTGACGGGTTTCTAGAAACCTTTTTAAATTATTTACTAGTGTTTACTGAGCCTACAAAAAGTGTTTATTTTTAATACTTACTCGTATAAGTATTTTATAAAAAAATAGCAATGAAAAAAGTACAATTCAAATAGGCCCTTGAAACACTTTTTTGCGCAACATGGCGTCAGTGACGTCACAAGGAGTTAAACATATAAACAATCAAACAACACAACCCAAGTTAAGTTAGCGTTCATTTTCGTTATTAAGCATTATATCCAATAAAGAAAATGTATAAATGGTAAGTAGTGCCAGGGTGCACAAATACTACTATGAAGACACCAGAAAAAATGATGATGAAATGGCATGACAGGCTGTCAATACTTATTGATAGACATGTTATTTGAAAGCTTGCTAGCCTGTGACGTCATTGTACGGTCAGCCAATCCAGATCGTTTTCAATCACGTGATAGTAGTGAAAAATAAATTAAGTTTTTAGAAGCTTTCTTACACATATAATAACATATTTTTTCACCTAATTGTATATATCGCATTTAAAACCCATGCCCTATGTAGATGTCAATAAATTAAAAAGTAACACTTTCTTAGATTTAAAATAAAACAGTACTTCTCACAATATCAAATAGCATATACTCTATGCTCTAATATAACAATGTTTTTACAAACATTAAAGTTAAACCACGTCTTCACTACAAATCGTCACTGCCATAATTTTTAAATTTAGCAACACTGTAAAACTGTCAATAGTCAAGTCACACTGCCTTTGTCAGTTGTCAGTAGCGCTGCCAATTGGCGGATAAATTACCTGAAAAGCGGGTAATTTTGTCAGGTATTTGCATTGAGCGAGGTAAAAGCAGGTATTTTACTTTAGCTGGCAACATTATCATAATAGTAATTTAAAAAAACATTTGAAACAGCTCAACGAAAGTCATTGAACACAAATAATGTTGTTGCAATATTGCCCGTGTGGGAAAATCTTAAGGAAGTAAAGCTGGAGGTATCGTGAAATTTCAGCCCAGTGTTCAAATGTTGCGAACCAAATTATGGTCTTCTTCTGACTCTACTATGCCTAAGTTTTATTTCCTGTGTAATTGAGAACTGATTACCATGACTTCTCTTTAAACATTAGTACTTTCTTTTATTCTATATAAAATATTAATTAATTACTTAAAAAACTATTTTCGGGTATTCCGCTCATGCAACGAGACAAACCATTGGTCGGGTAAATCAATAACTGTTATCTGGCAGCCCTAGTTGTTAGTTGTCACCCTAGTGTCATCCCGTATCTGTCTGTGTCATTGTCATTCACGAATGTGATTGCGAACTAGTAGCAAGGTTGCACAAAAACGGGAGGTGCACGGACGTGGATTTGATTCGGTACTGAAATAATAAAAGACACAATGTTATTGTAGTGGTAGTGAGTGGCGCACCTGTGCGAACATGGCGTATGACATCGGCTGGATCATCCCGCGGCTTCGGAACCCGGGGCGCCTGTGGACGTGCGCCAGCTCCATCACGGTGGCTGTGGTCGGTTTGTTCAGCAAGTTTATTGTAGGTAGGTTTCATTAACCCACCTCTAGTAATTAGTATACTTGTGCCATATTCTTGAAGTAACCAATATAGTACGTAGTTTAATATATCGCTGGGTAACAAGTACGGCTCGGAACGAGTTCCCATCGGCAAAAACTGAACTAGCTGCTTACAGTGCATGTCGTTCCAAAAGAAAAATAGACTAAAACTCGTTCAGTGCTTTCTGCAATAATGTGATTATTAATTTTTTCATAGCTCATTGCACAAATTAATATATTAGTAAACTAGCTTCCATATTATAATAATATAATAGGTATATATAGGACTATATAGATCTATTAATAATAAAGGAAGTTCTATGTATATATGTCCTATAACTTGTAATATTTTTATCAATTTTCTGATAAAGGCAAAAAAGGCTTTCTGGTGTACTAAACTTTTTGTTAGACTCTGAATGATCATTAAATGACTTACAATTAATTCGAGCTATGCTTGATAATATTTTACCTATTACTTATTATTTTACTTAGTTATATTCATCAGGCTATTTTAAGTACTGCCATATTGAATTTTTTATAATAGTGACAATTCAAGGTGCTCGTAAAAATCTATTTGAGTAAACTATATTTTGATTTTATTTGATATGAAACACTAAATGAAAAGGATTGGTATTATAAATTTAATGTCTAAGCACATCAGCCTTTAAACAAAATAAATCTAATGTATAGCTACATTTTGCGAAAACCTATGCCAGATACCAGATATAACAAATGTAAAAGTTGAGTGTTAATTTCTTAACTTATGAGAGAAATTTTGGTATATAATTGTATATATTTTATTTTACTTATTTTATAAATTTTGGTACTGTAAATATATCCTGAACTGGAACTGATGATGTACCATCCCAAAAATTGAAGTTTAATATCAAGTTAAGACTTCATTCCATAGGTTTTAAGGAGTAGCTGAAGCCTTGTTTAGCTTAAAATTTAAGGCCTAAGTTTGGTCTGTTTGCCTGCATTACGAAGTGTGTAAAGATATAATAGCAGTATACACTGTACATAGAACAAATAACTAAAATTTAGTTTTGGATGTTTGTTGTATAAGTGACTATTACCTATCTACTAGATAGTGTCATTTAAAATTTGATTATGCTTATCATAAGATTGCCTGGACTTACAAAGTCTTAGATAGGGATATGGTATTTCATACATAGTTTCCTCTTTATTAATCGGGTCTTGGCATGTAACTTCATTGTCTGGACATCAGAAAAATCGCGTTAGCAGATCGAGTGTCTCCAAGGCACTGAAACGTAATACTAATATTATAAAGAGAAAAAAATGCTTTTTGTATGTTCGTTTGTAATGAATAAATTAAAATTCCGATAGATTGATTTAGATGAAATTGGGTATGAAGGTAGTTTGAGACCTTGGGAAGGACATAGGATAGTTTCGATCCCAGAAATCACTCCTTAAGGTGGTAAAAATGGGGATGAAAGTTTGTGTGGGGAATCAATCATTTCTCAGGTAACAGATATTAAACTCATCTTACATATGTATATTGTATACATAGTCTTGCCCTAAATATTGTTACAAAGAAAAAAACATTTTTTTCTATTACATGTAACATTTATTACAGTGTGCTAGTTTAAAACATTAATATAAAACCATTAAAAATATATGAAGCTTATTCGAAGTGGTCTCTATTAGCTGCAATACAGTCTTTTAAACGTTAAGGCCAGTTATCAAGAGAAGCATGTTCTCTTTTTATGGGAAAATTCTTCACTGCCCATCGTATGGATTTTTTACATAAATCATAATCCAGCGGATTAATATCTGGACTAGATTGCGGCCAGTCTTCAGCTCTGATGAAGTCCGGAACGTGGGTTTCTAACCAAGATTGCGTGGATCGAGCTTTATGACCCGGCGCCGAGTCTTGCTGAAAGGAACATTCTTGGTTATTGAACATGGTGTTGTTAAGCGGCTTAACTAACTTCTCAAGAATGGTACCTTGATACACTTGTGCATGTTTTGATACCTTTTTCACAAAAATATGGCTCAGTCACTCCTTCATAGCTAACACCTCACCAAACCATCACTGAAGTCGGATAATGTCCACCTTGTACTCTGTTAACTAATTGGGAAGCTTCCTTAGAGCTTGAAGCATAAATACGGACATTTTGTTTGTTAAAATAATGGTCAATTGTAAAAATCATCCATAAACAAACATTTTCTGTGAGACCTTGTGCGTACCGCTTAAGTAGTTGTTTTGATTTTACCACCCTATTCTTTTTTAAATTATCAGTTAAGAAATGACCAGTGCGTCTCTTATAGGCTGCAAGTCCTAATCATCTTTTAAAATACGCGACATGGTTCTAGGTGTTATCTTAACCTCCCGAGATAAAATCTTTTGCTTTCGGAGAGGATTTCTTCAAATTCTTTACTTACTGCTTTGATCGCCTTTTTCGTACGAACACTACGTGGATGGCCAGATCTTTTTCTGTCACAAACAGAGGTGTGTCTGTCTGTGGCATCGTAGCTCTCAAACGGATGGATTTCGATGCGGTTTTTTTCATTTGAAAGCCAGTTTCCTTGCGGTGGTTCTTAGCTATGTTTGGTTAATATCGGTCCAGCAGTGTAAGAGTATCAGCTCTTTTCCAAAATAATGTAAGGCATTTTGGCGTATGATTACTCTATTAAGCGCTTCACGCGTACCAGTATAATCGTTAAATGACAATTAATTTGCGGGGTTTCGTAAATTTTTTATTTATAATTATGTAATTAGGGGATGCGCTACTGTGAAATCGCGCTACCGTTTCCTCAAATGCTAGTAAAAAACAAAAAAAAATAACATTATATGTCGGTATAACTGGCGAATGTGAATCATTCCTTGTTTTGTACTATCTCTTAATATGACATAAATGGTACCTATATCGTAAATGTCGCGGTTTTTTTATTTGCTATCGCGTGCGTGTGCAATCTGCATCATTTATACATCCATGCAGGTAAAATTTATACCTACATAAAATAAACCAGTAACTGTGCGAAATCTATATTATTATGTAATATTTTTAAAAACAATGACAAACGTATTGTGTACAGAATATAGTCCGGAAAACAATAGTAATTAAAAATGTCGTCTGTTGCGTACTAAACTTATACTATAAGTAAATTTTGTGTAGTAACAACTTATTACTCGGGTCAACATTTAGAATACCTTTTTCTACAGGAAAATCTGTCATTCCCTCGGGCAAACATCATAACTGATTCTGTCGAGTCATTTTTATAAATTTACATGTCTAACGCTGGCTAAATCTTAAGAGATACAACAAAACAATGTATTTACTAGAAAAATATAAATCATAAACCGGCATACAGAAAAGTCTACAATATCGAGCGTATGTCTATTTTCTAAGGTACACTCGCAATAACTACTTATATTTACAACTACCTAGAAAGTACAATGGCACCCGAGCGAAGCAAGAGTAAGTTGCTAGTATCAAATAAATTTCAACTAATGCTATTTGAAACATCACGTCCTTTAACAATTATACATCTATACTTATTATAAAAATAAGTCCCCCGGCCGCGTCTTTCTGTCCTCCTGTCTGTCCTCCTGTCTGTCTGTACGCGATAAACTCGAAAACTACTGAACGGATTTTTATACGGTTTTCAACAATAGAAAGAGTAATTCTTGAGGAAGGTTTAGGTATATAATTTATTATGCTTTTATGTAAATTAGCTGAAATACGGCGACAAATGTTGAAGAGGTCGCAAAAAATCTCGCCAAATGGGAACTTTCCACGCGAACGCCGCGTAAACTAGCAAAGATACAGTTAAGTAATGTACTAGAGAATTCAAAATCTATAAAAATGCTACAAAAAAGTCCGCGATAGCATATCTCTATCTCTTACGGTTGACTTACAATAACCACTTTTATGTTAACATTTTTAATTAAAAACATTACGTTATTTTCAAAGTTATTTTCTTTAGTTCGGTATTAATCCTTATCCAAATGAATATTTTAGTTAGCTTAGTCATTTAATGCAGATTAAAATTGCTCTTTACACTAAATCAATCAGATGAATAGTTTTTGAGATATCGTTGTTAGAAGTAATTAGTAGCGAAACATTTTTAATGCTTGGCGAGCATTGAGATGCCTACGGCGAGTCCATCCCCTCTGCCCCGCATCGCTCGACCGCCTGCTCAAGCTATATAAACCGGGCGATGTAGCGCGCGATCCTAGGATACTTTTTACCGCGGGAAAATATCTTATTTCTGAGGAAAAATACAAAAACTGCAATGTAAGAGTATACTAATATGTAACACCTAAGAATTTAGTTTTTGGTCATCTGAACGCGGGCGGAGCCGCGGGCAATGCTAGTATAGGTATAAATGGCAGACTTTCAGTTCATTCTCCTACATAAAATAATTCTATTAATTTTTTTTCTCGTCTTAATATTAGCTACTTAGCTTAAGGTATATTTTTAAAGAATGTTATTTTACATGTATATCTTAGACATCACTTGCTTGTGCTTATTATATTAAATGTTGATTAACGTTTAAATTATATTGTTTTTTTTTTGTTTGTACAAAATAGATTAGAAGAGAGCTAGCTGTGACATGTTGTCCGAATTTAATTCGTTTGTAGATACTGTTTTGCTGATCGTTATCACTAAAATATCACAATATAACATTTATACTTGCACTTCATTAAAATAAATTTAGAAGATTTTAAATGTCATAAGCGTATTAAAATATAAAAAAAGTGCTGACCTTTGTTAAGCGTATCACTTAAGAAAGGCTGGACCTTTCTGCTTAATTGTTTATTTAATATATTCGTAATAGTCTGAATACAGTTTTAGTGAACAAAAATGGGAAGAATATGGGAAAAATAAAACTACTCCAAGACCAGACTCAGACCTCTATATTGAAATTGTGACAGGACAACGTCTATCGTTAGATAGTGACGATGAAGTCCTATCGAATGATTTCGGCCACAGCGGTCGATCTCACGGAGACTAGCAAATTGCGCAAGATATATTATATAGTGCGCAAATGTACGCGAAGAGATAAATGCACTCTCTATTCCTGTCACTCTCAAACTCTGGTAAGACGATAACTAGACAAGACCAGCGAGAGATCAGGCGCAAGACCGACGGCTTTACGGACTCTCTCTCTCTCAAGTCACTGAGGTGAAATACCGCCAACTATTTGACTCCGAACTCTACTGAAACTTTCTTAATAAAATGACGACTTGATGACAAAAACTTGACCGGACCTGGGACTCTACCACAGGACCTCCAAAACTGAAATCGTACATGCTAGCGAGTAGTGACTAGACCACCGAAGCAGATAGTAGTAGTCGTAATGTAATCACATTGATTGGTCTACAGAGTTCCTGAACAAGACGACGGTGTACAACCGCGAGGCGCTGCTGCGCGCGGTGCAGCGCCCACCCGACGTGCCGCTGCTCACCGTCTCCAACCACCACTCGTGCTTCGACGATCCCGGCCTATGGGGTAACCTACATATGCCTATTTTTAAACATGCTTGTAGGTATTTAGATTCACTTTAAACTTATGTTATCGTGGAAGTCGATTATAAACTACTCATATATAATATAGTAAACCTTATAATCCAGATGACAGTAAAATTTTTTGACGTCAAGAAAATCTATATTTTTAATCACTGGATTATCTGAGTTGCACGTACGCTAGAAGCTTGATAAACCCTGTAGCCTACATAATCTTACCTCCTGGCCTCCTTGTTAGATTAAAACTGGAGAATGCCATGACCGACGTCTACTAAATCCTTGAACACCTCTAGCTTTTACATAGTATAAATATTTATCAGTGGCATACTGCGGCCGTACCTATCAGACACAATTTATTTAAGCATAAAGTTATCGACATTCATTTTAGCTTCCATCTACTAAATGAATCCGACTACCGATTGATTGAGCCGAAAGTAATCATTCAAAGTGATACGCTCTAACGAAAAGTGAACACCGCAGTCCGCCGCCATCGGTGCAGGTGCGAGTTATAATACTGCCTCATGTCGAATATGAAATTTCAACATAAAATTTTCAGCTTTGGGAACAAGAAGCGCAAATTAGTTGAAATATCCGAGTATTTTGCCTTGTTTTCTTAATGCCCGCCGAAAAATAAGAAAAATCATGGCTCTCAAAAAGATAAAGACTGATTTCAATGCGTTTTTTCAATTTGAAAATTTAATACATACTAAATTTTGCTTTTGGCTATATTTGAAAATTACCAATTATATATAGCTGTTTAAAACTCATAAATTTTACGATCTCGTTGGTCGGAATTCAAAATGTTCAATTTAATCGACGTAGTTCGTCTGTCTCAAGCACTACCAATTCGTTACTTCGCTGAATAATGAACTGGACATTGTATACGCTTTATTACTTCCGTTTTAAAAACAGGAAATGTTATAATAATAATCCATTAAAATTACATTTCATACATAGGTATATAAAATATACCAAAGTATTTACAACACAATATGAATGACTGATTACTAACCAGTAAACAGTAACCAATGACATAAAAAATTACAAGCGCCTAATATGCTTATATTACCTACCTAGAAGAAGTAATTGCACTTAAAATGGAGAATTTAATGTAGCCTACATTTTTACTGCTTTTGCTGTTTCAGCCATAGTTAATGTTACTATTAAAATAAATAAAATTTCTTACGTGCTTTCCTCATTTGTGATCGTAAAGGCTTTTGCTATTATAAAAATGTCAAGTTATTATTGTGATGTTAATGTTAAACACATTTTATATTTGTTTTTGTCATTAAACTAAGTAGCAAAAAATTACGTAAAATCGTCTGCTCTACAATTTATTTGAAATAAACTAGCAAGAAAAACAAAAACAAACCTATCCCTCGGGAACCGTATATTTTTCCGGGATAAAAAGTAGCCTATGTGTTATTCCCGACTATAATCTATCTCTGTGCCAAATTTCATCCATACATACTCACAAACTTTTACATTCATAATATTTGTACAGATATACAGATTAGTAGTTTTCCCTGTCATTCTGTTGTGTCCTGAGTTATTTTGAAAAAATATTTTTAACTGGCATTGAAGAATTCATGAAGTGCTTCACTTTCATAGTTACATTCAAATATATATTCGAACTAGCTTGCACCAAAAATGTCTTACTAGAATACCCATTAGATTACTAACAGACGTATCTAATATATTTAAACGAGCAATTCTTGTATATATATATACCATTATACCAGCTACATATATGAAGTACTCAGTCACGTGTGCTGTGTAAACGTTTTTATTACATTTTCTAGACTCATTGAGACATGCATGTGACATATCACATAACTCCTAAGGTGTCTTAATATTTAACGCGGCGCCGCGCCGGGGCCGGGCCCACGGCCGCGACACTCCTCCACCTCAATGAACTTCCGCTACTTTAAATATCTACATAATATTAAGTTTTTCTCAAGAACAGTCCTTATAATTATTATATTTACTTTATACAGTCAGAAGTTATTCCCTCCACGACCGCGGACACGCCGGCGTTACAGTTAACAATAGATTTCTTAGAAATTTACCTGGAGGTGTTAAATATAATATCAAACGAATAATAAAACTATATAGTTTGAATGTAAAATTGTTATTTTCAACCGACTTCAAAAAGGAGGAGGTTCTCAATTCTACTGTATTTTTTTTAATGTTTGTTACCTCAGAACTCCGTCCTTTATTAACCGATTTGGATAATTTTTATGTCGTTTGAAAGTGTATACTTCCAGATTGGTCCCATTTCAATTTCAAAAAAAAAATACCACCCCTAAGGGTGGAAAAATAGCTAATGATGAATTTAACCTACTTTTAATCGTCATATTGATTTGAAACTGCAAGTGTTTCTATTTCCGTTGATAGTACAGTAGTTCGGTATTGTTGACCTGATCTGATGGTAAGGCCAAAAGGTGGATAGGTGGAACTCTTCAACGGCTAATAGTAGATTCTTTGAGTTTGGGCTTATTTTGTTTGATTTGACAAGCCTAACACGTTAGAATTCTTACTTCGCTACTACAAGACAGTAACTGTCTACACTAAAAAGGGAAAAATAAAAACTTTTTAACAAAAAAATAAAAACCGACTTCAAACAAAAGCACTAGAAAGTAAAAAATAACTGATTGGTAGTTTTCATTTACTATATATACCTAATCAAATATTTTCGAAGTCGGTGTGCTTTGGCTAAGTAATTAAAGCCTACCTATTAAATACATACCTAATCAAATATTTTCGAAATCGGTGCCAGCCCATACAAAGCAAAGCACACCGATTTCGAAAATATTTGATTAGGTATGTATAGTAAATGAAAACCAATCAGTTATTTTTTACTTTTTAGTGCTTTTGTTTGAAGTCGGTTTTTATTTTTTGGTTATATATGTTCAAAAACGTGCATGACTTCCCGTCACGTGACACCCAGTACCGGTAACTAATCTTTCAACACCGCGGACAAAGTTTATTAGATTATCGTCTCTTTACGATATCGTAAAGCAACGTGTTGAGTTGTGTTGTGTAGTTAATAAATGAACTTACAAACCATCAAAAAATAGCGAGAAAGTTATTAGTGAGGAAGAAATGAAACATACATTTCTTTGTAGAACATAAAATCAAATGTTAATAGCGATTAGCGATTGCGATACGAACGATAGCAGTGGACGGGCGTGTATCGGACAAACCGCACGAGTATCGCAGCCATAATATTATATTCTTATCTATGAATGGAAGCTCGATATAGAATATCAGTTGTCCACGCGATTGTGCCTACAGTCTACACTCGGAGTCGTCGGCACGCGTGGCGCGTCACACGGTCGCCCGCGCTGGCCGCCGCCGCACAACGTCCGCGACGCAACTCTGTGCAACACGTACCGAGTATTGCGGGCAGCGGCCAGCGGGTTATCTAACATATCCCGAATACTGATTTTATTGTACAACTTCCTGCTAGTAATCCCCTTATTTAAGTTGTTGAAATATGAACACGCCAAAATATCTTTTTTTATCTTGCCGGAGAGGATAAATATAGTATCAAGTTATTTTGTAAATAAGACGAAAAATATTAGTCCCCATATACTATATACATACATTTTGTCATAAGCTTTTAGAGATAGAATTTCAAAAAATATATTAACGGTCGCTAAAAGGACATGTAAAAACTTCATTCTATTAGGTCCAGTAGTTCTATGTGGCGTCGCAAAGGGTCCCTTAAGGGGTAAAAATGATTGGCAAAGTTTATGTGTGAAACGTAATCTTTTGCTGTTACTGGAAACGTAAAATTTGACTGCTTCTTTTACATAATTGTTTTACATTTTACATTTACATTTTACATAAATGTTGAGTGCATTATATACATACATATAGTATGAATAATAATGGCCTTATTAAGGTTGTAAGATCGGCGACCGTCATTATAAACAAGAATATTTTTAATAAAAAATTAAATAAACTTCACGTAAGCAATAGGTAGGTATGCTTTATGTACCAACCACCAAGTAGGTTACACTTCACATAATATTATTCTCAGATGGATTAATTATCTAACACGCATAAATTTACATATATTTCATTTGTTCAATCCTAACATAACCACATAAATATATTATTACATAATGACCTATTTCTGAACTTGACTTGTATTTAAATACACAACTCGTGTAATACGGTTTCAATCATCACATTGCGCTCCTTCCCTTGACGGCAGTCACAACAAAGCGATTAGAAAATGTCAAAACACTACCCAGGTGACTGCCAAATTAACTTATTTGCCCCATTCTGAAATTGAACCTGCAAGCTCTGGTGTAGGCAACAGTACCCTTGCATAGCCAATATGAAAATATTGGTATCAAGTCTATCAAATATAAACAAGTATGAGTTCATATAATAAATTGAGTGTAATTCGTTATCTAATGATTTTATTTATGTCTGACGCGATCACCTCGTGGCCGTAACTGTAAGACGTACAACGATCGGAAATATTTACGAAAATAAACACGCTGCGGACTAGGAGACACCCATCTGCCCTCACCTCGATCAGTCATATCACTTATTGTACTTTACAATAACTTAATTAAAATTAATAAAAATTGATGTTTTTGACTGAATAATATGTTATGCTATACATAGATGGCAATCTAAGTTTTTTTTTATAATTTTTGTCTAGTTGAGAACGACTGGACTGATTGCGATGAAATTTTAATTTTTAACAGCTGTCTAAATTCACAAAGAATAAAAAACACGTGTGTGTGTGTACTTATGTACGCACGTAAGAAGTTATACTTCTTTGGCGTAACAGAACAAAAATAGCTAAAGATTTCATCCCGTATCCCGTCACAACTCTCTTGTCTGTAAAAGGAATACTTCACTCATTCATTCATTGGAAGCTAACTTCATCATGTCGCTTTTTGGCTGTCGGTGTGCGCACGCGTCGTAAAAATTTGACTTTCATATTTTTTTCCAATCGTGCCAAAAAAGTATAACTTTTAAAATCCAGTTTATTGGTAGAATCTAATTTTGAAATTGACGCTAAATGAATGAAAAGTAAAATGTAGAATAAGTAAAGAAAAATATGTACCTCTAACACGGGTAATAACTAGTTTTCAATAGTATGAAATGTCTACGATTTATTTTTACCTTATACAATATACAGCCTTACCATCTTACTCGGATGGTCCTGTCACCGACGTATTGTGCTGTAGTGAATGGCTCGTGGGTCTATCTTTGATGTGCTTTCAATCGTGTTGACGAAATGTTTAAGATCTAATTGATAAAAAAAAATCAATCTTCTCTTGTTGAGTGTGTATATATGTATATATTTGTATATGTGTATATATGTATATATTTTTATAAACACGCGACAATTGAAGAAACACTTTTTTGATACTATGTTATGAAAAGTTCTTTGTTGATTTTATTTCATAGGTGTATCACTAACACGCAAAAGAAAACAGAGGAATCACTCAGTTAATATTACCTAACATTGCCTATACGTTACTAATAACATCATATTTAGATACATAGTAAGTGTATGTGTGCAGGTGTGCTGGACACGGGCACGCTGGTGCGCTACACGCGCATGCGCTGGTCGCTGGCGGCGCACGACATCTGCTTCACCAACGCGCTGCACTCCGCCTTCTTCGCGCTCGGCAAGTGCGTGCCCGTCGTGCGCGGCGCCGGCGTCTACCAGGTACACACTGTTCACGCTAAACTGTTACTGACGAGGACTGAACCCCAGCGCCATTAGGTGGACGTGGCGGAGGATATTTTCAACCGACTTCAAAAAGGAGGAGGTTCTCAATTCGACTGTATGTTTTTTTTTTTTTTTTTTTTTTTTATGTTTGTTACCTCAGAACTCCGTCATTTATTAACCGATTTGGACAATTCTTGTTTTGTATGAAAGGGTATACTTCCAGATTGGTCCCATTTAAATTTCAAAAAAAAATACCACCCCTAAGGGTGGAAAAACAACAAATGATGAATTTAACCTACTTCTAATTGTCATATTGACTTGAAACTTTGCAAGTATTTCTATTTCCGTTGATAGTACAGTGGTTCGGTGTTGTTGACCTGATCTGATGGCAAGGCCAGAAGGTGGATAGGTGGAACTCTTCAACGGCTAATAGTAGATACTTTGAGTTTGGGCTTATTTTGTTTGATTTGACAAGTCTAACACGTTAGAATCCTTACTATGCTACTACTGTCTACACTAAAAAGGGAAAAATAAAAACTTTTTAACAAAAAAATAAAAACCGACTTCAAACAAAAGCACTAAAAAGTAAAAAATAACTGATTGGTAGTTTTCATTTACTATACATACCTAATCAAATATTTTCGAAGTCGGTGTGCTTTGGCTAAGTAAGTAAAGCCTACCTATTAAATACATACCTAATCAAATATTTTCGAAATCGGTGCCAGCCCATACAAAGCAAAGCACACCGACTTCGAAAATATTTGATTAGGTATGTATAGTAAATGAAAACTACCAATCAGTTATTTTTTACTTTTTAGTGCTTTTGTTTGAAGTCGGTTTTTATTTTTTTGTTAAAAAGTTTTTATTGTAACATTTAAGTTGTTACAAATATTCGTTATATCGATTTACGTGATTTTAAATTAATATTTAATATGTACTAATACATATTCTGGTAAAAGCTTTCTCTATTACTATTGTTTTTGTTTGCAAAATATACCTATATAAAAATGAGGTTTGCTTCCTGATATAGGTACAAGTAGGTATATCCTATGAGCAGGTTTGCCCTTAGATAAGATAAAATAATGACGCATTTCCTTAATATGCGATTCTTTATTATTATTTACATACTGCGATGTCCAAACAAGTAATGAATAACATTGTAGTGACGTAGAACTGCATAGTTGTTACACAGTAGGTACACAAGCATTGCAGGTCTAGAAACAAAGCTGTAGTTGAAATCTAAACACCATCACCAGCTGACAGCTGCCGACAAAAGGCTACTCTACGTAGATTTCCACGCTAATCAGTTTTGCGTCATCCGCGCTCGAGGGTTCCTACACATCGTAACAAAAGATTATAATTTTTTGTTTATCTATTTGGTTGCGTATTACAAGAAAATGTTTTATCAAAAAGTAAGTATCGTAAGAGTCTTAATAGATTATTTGAATAATTATTATTATTGTTTATTTATGAAATCAAGAAAATCGGAGATATGCAGAATTAGAAATACAAGCTGTTTTGTAATATTTCAATGATCAATCTATCACGCTGACATAGTTTTCATCTTATTCAGTACGCGTCGACTGGTTTCAATCAACTGAGGATAGTGTAATTTACGTCGCCACTTACACGGTCAAATGTAAATATATGCAAATACATTAGTACGCGTGTAACGGACTCGGCCAGGTTGTAACGATATTAATTAGTCTCTTGTTACTCCGCTAAGCCCTTCCTATACGGTAAGCACCGGGTACATCCCTCTAAAGCCCTCACCCCGCTGTAAAGCTCTGCCAATGATAAATCGTACGAGAATACGATCAACTCGTGCAAATAAGTTATGTAAAATAAATGTATTGATACGTCTACTTCACATTAATTCAATACTGTTAACTGTAGAAGATTACACGACACGTGTTTATATTTTTATGGATCACAAATCACTGCATAAAATAATGGACTGACTTTAATAAAACTTTCATATTCAATTCACCAAATCATGAGTGCTGAAGTAGACTTACTATGGTGACGGAGGCCTCAGATACGACACAAATAAATATACACCAAACATGTTCACATTACAACCACTCGGATGGGTAAATACACGATATGTTTGGTGATTGCCCCCGCTTTATCTGTCCCCGCTCTGTGACGAATAGACAACAATACTTCATTGCCATTGTTAGCGAGACTGCGTCTTAAACGGTGTTTATTTATTATAGTACTAGCGACTCATTCGTCCCTAGCTTGCTTCCCCATAAAAACTTTCATCCCCATTTTAAACTCCTTAAGGGATGATATCCGGGATACAAAGGTACCCCCTAGAACGTCACAAACTCACAATTCATAAACTCATAAATTTTACCTCTTTATAATATTAGTATAGATAGCTTGACATATAAAAAAACCATCTTATAGAAATATCACTCAATAGATTATGACACGGTCGGAGTTTCATACTTACGAGTATGTCGTATTATCTCTTTAACCATTTGTCCAAATTATATGCAGTAAAAGGGAAAAGATTGTTGATAATATTACCAATAAACATGACCTACCGATTTAAATTATATTTTAATATAAAAAACTACTTTTTGTGTCTTAAATATAAAAGTTAGACGTACTTATGCTGTCATTGAGATTTTTATAGGCATTATTAAGCTCTACAACTTTTGTCTCTAATTCGTCCATGAATATAATCATATATCTGTCATCGTTAAGGCAGCGTTCGTAAGAAACGTTTTTGTTCGACCGTTTTTTCTCCGACTTACTTTGCAAATCTGACTACCATGAAAAAGTCTTTTCATTCTCCGGGTTAATATATAGCCTATGACACTCAGGAATAACGTGGTAAAAGAATTTTCAAAATCGGTTCAGTAGATCCAGAGATTTACCCCCTTTTTTTTTAACGTTGGGAAATGCATTTACGCACGAGGTGTGGGACTCACCGGCAAAGCCAGTACTACCCACTAAAACCCAACAAAACCTTCCTCCGTCTTAATGGGGCGTCGCAGGATCGCTTACGCATTCAACTACGACGCCCCGACGGCAGGTCTGCCGAAGCAGACCACAACAACCACGGGGTTGCTCCACAGTCCACTCTGCTGTCAGAGAAGTACCAGGAGCAACCCGCATGGTACACTGCCCTCCGAAGAGGGCCACCTCCCACCGACCACCGAAGTGGGCCACCTCCCTGTGCGTTTCTTGGCTTCGCGCCCGGTTGGGTTGCCGGGCACTACTGAGCAACCACGACAAGGTGAACGCACGTTGGAGGGGAGAGATTTACCCCCTACAACGTCACAAACTCACAAACAATTCACAAACTTTACCTCTTTATAATATTAGTTATAGTATATAACACTAGTGTAGTTTATACAGCGATCATTGTTCTCGCTGATATTCGAAAAGCTTAAAATAATGTACAGGCTGCTAACAAACAATAATATTTGTGATCAATTCGTCCTTTATATAACATCGACCGAGCAATATTTTAATATATAATTGTTATAAAAAAATCGCATTGAAACGGTTCAGTTGATTTAAAAATGTAATATTAATAACATCCAATTGTGTTTGTTTTGATCGCACCCTTAATGATAAATATAATTATAAATATATGTAAATCAGCCAAGTCTGTGATAGCTTAAGAATATACGAGTATGTATTTGGTAAAGAAAAGCGCGAATTCAATAAAAGTCGCAAGATTTGCGCTTGTGTGTAATAAAATATTTTAATTAAGAAAATATTATTTTGGTTTTAACATCACATGTCACGACGCGCCCCGCGCCTCATTAGACCAGGGTCAAATTCAAGTAATCAAATACAATTTTGCCATTTGACTTTTTTCGATAGGACTTTTAGTTTTGCCGGAAATCGAGAAAAACCGTTTTTTACCCTTAAAAACTCACCCCCATCCCCTTCCCGACCTCAGATCGCCCGTAAATTATTTTTCCTTTCATTTTTATAATATTCCCCTCCTTTTCTAACGGGTTGCATCCTACTATTATTTTTTTTCACTTTTTATTATTTTTAAAGGCTTCTACCCTGGTCTAATGTTTTGAAAGTTGAAGTTGAAAGTACATGTTTTTTCAGATTGTAACACGCTTTTTTCTATAGGTAATACGCTAAGTGTTCACAACCTGCTAATTTATTTTGGATACTAAAATACTTTTATGAATATTTTCTATTCTAAAAAAAACCATTAGTGTTGTCGCATCTACCTCTCAAACCTTCAGAACGCCTTTTTTCGAAGACAGTATCATAACCAATATAAAGCAACGAGGTTAACATTTATCGCAGATATAGTTAAGCGAACTGTATATTATCATGGCGTTTAAATTTTGAATTTTTGTGGCCAGCCTATGGCCAAGGCGTAGCCAGGACTATGGCCTGATCTCCTAGTATTGAAGGGAAGCCCGTGCCCAGCATTGGGACGGTGAAAAGAGCTAAATATAATATCTGTACGTAATATGTATTAAAGCACAATCCGCCAAAAATATTTGCAACTCTGCAATAATTAATCAAGCCTTATTTCTAATCTGTCCACACAGAAAAAAATATCAAAATGCGTATTTCCTATGCCGACCTCAACGAGGACATTGCTCTTTACATAGATGATGATGATAATGATGATGACGAAGAGACAACACTAGTGGACGGCACAAAAGTTGCCAACATCCGCCACTTAAAGATATGCATAGCTTTAGAGGGAGATTTGGACGCACGTGTAACGAATGCAATATATGAAATGTATTAGTTCCTACCATTAATTTTCGCCTTGAAAAAATGGCACCGAAAACTAATTTTCGAGAATATCTTTAGCGGGAATATTCTCAACAGAGATATCAAAAATATCATACATATAATAGAATTCTGAGTCGAAATTGTACATTAAATATTTTTTAGAAAATCTTATTGAAATAATCGTTATTATCAATACTGAGGCCAAATCTATGGTTTTTAGAATTTTGTCTGTCTGGAAACGCATCTCGAGACAACCAATGTACAGATTTAGATGAAATTTGGTGTGATGATAGCAGGTTATCCGTGTCAACATATAAGATACTTTTTACTGCGGCAAAATATCTTATCTTTAAGAAATCTATTCTAAACGTTAAAAAGCAATTAGGGACGAACCCGAGCGGAGCGAGGATGAGTCACTAGTCTATTATAAAATTAAATAGCATCAAATTTTCAAACGAAAATACCAAAATACGACGAAGTCGTACTAAAAAATTCCTGCAAATCTTAAAACATTTTGTTTTCGATACTTTAAGAAATGTCGATTACTTAACACCTACATTCTTCTCCTTCTTCTCCCTGCCCATTTCCCAATCACTCGAGGTCGGCGCAGTACATCTTTTGTGCTGCTGATAGGATTTGGCAAAAGTTTTACGACCGGCCGCCTGCCTGACGTCAACCCTTCTTGGGAATGCTATTGTCTCTCTTTGTCTGAATGGTATCGCGGAAGTCTTGTAATATTATGCACTTTGGCTCAGTTTGTAGTGACCCTACTTGCAGTGCTAGCGGTCGCGGGTTCGAATCCCGCTAGGCGCATTCATTTGTGTGATGAGCACGAATATTTGCACCCCAGTCATGGGTGTTTATATTTATAATATGTATGTATTTAAAAATTCTATATGGGTAGTGTATCAACTATCTGGTATCCATAACACAAGCCGCGTAGATTACTATGGAACTAGATGGCGCTGTGTCTTAATGTCCCAACATATTTATTATTATTATTTATTACTTTCGATTTTGTTGTCTTTTAAAACATTTTTTATACTATTACTTAAATTTTTAATGTTATTTTCGGATATATTTTAAAATAAATTTTGATTACACAATAAATTTAGTTTTGAAGTTGTCAATTTTTTTTTAAATTCACTTAACCTACATTACATATTATTATTTTTCATACCACGAATTATAACGATGTATCATTGTGAGAGTGTTTTTCATGTGGCATTCTCAATATCTATTCTACAATTTGCGACTCGCTGATGTCCTAGATGGCACAGTGTCACTGATATCAGCATATTCTTACAAAACTGGGCTTAATCTATTCATTTTAAATTTCTTTTAGCTATAATCAATGTAGAACGTCTCTTTGTCTGGGCCCCAAGATAATTTAAGGCGGCAACAAATTCATTGTATGACTGACTGGTTACAGCCAGCGATGGACTTCTGCGTGGAGCGCCTGAACCGCGGCGAGTGGGTGCACATCTTCCCCGAGGGGCGCGTCAACGTGGAGAAGGAGCGCATCCGCTTCAAGTGGGGCGTCGGGCGGCTGGTGGCGGACAGCGCGGCGCGGGGCTGCGCGCCGCTGGTGCTGCCGGTGTGGCACGAAGGCATGGACCGCGTGCTGCCCAACGCGGAGCCCTACCGCCTGCGCTTCCGCAACCGCGTCTACATGACCGTCGGCGAGCCCATCCGCCTGCACGCGCTGCTCGACAAGTACGGCCAGCCCTCTCCTCCTCGTAGTCCCCTCGTAGTGTGTACGTCTGTAACTCTTCACGCCGAAACAGCTGAACGGATTTAGATGAACTTACACAAATAGATTATAGCCCGATGCAACACATAGGCTACTGCGGAGTGCCTAAGGACGAACCCGCGAGAGTGAGGCGCTAAAGATAAATTTTAACGCGTCGTTATATTTTCTATTGCAGGTTAAGGAGCGCGAACGCGTCGGAGGAGGAGACGCGGCGCGCCATCACGGAGCGCGTGCAGGACGAGCTGCTGCAGCTGCGCGAGCGCGCGCACGCGCTCATCCGCCGCGCATGCGCCGCGCGCGCGCCGACCCGCCGCCCACGCCGCCGCCCACGCCCGGCGGCGCCGAGCGCAACCACAACGAGCCCGCTGAGAGGCTCAAGGAGAAGGACGCGTAGGCGCGAAAGTTCACCCGTGAGGCTTTCGGAACGAACTTTTTGACGCAATATACAGTTTTTTAAGAATAGGCTGTGCAGTGTTCCAACTTACCAACCGAAAATCATGAAACATTACCGTTTAGCGCGCGCGAGGACCTCTCCGTCGCTTCGACGTATTCGTCAGTGCGGCGCAGCACGCACGCGGCGGGCGCGGGCGCTCGGTGCGTCACGGTCAAGGACTTGAAGAATTCACGAGAGAGGAGTTAATTAAGCCATGAAGTAGCACGAAGCGGCGGGAAGACATTAGCCCGATAAATAGAGACTAAGTACTACTACTTCTAAATAAGCCGTTGTCGCTCATACTGTAAGAGGTCACCGACTTTTCCCAGCCTTTTGTAATTTCATATCAATGTTTGTGGTAGAGCCCCATTTGGGATTTTTAGTATGTTTCTACATAGAAAAATAAAATTTTATACGAGCCTTTACATTGTTATCGTTTACAATTAACATTTTAACTTGTAGTTTTCAATGTTGACCTCTAAACGTGAATGTATCGAGTGCGCACAAGTCATACTACTGCTTATACTATATTATGACTACAGCGACCCGTCTCTGTACGTACTGGCGGGGGTCGCCGGTTCCCAAAGTTACCTCTTCTTCATAAGAAGTAACCTTTGAGTTGTGTAATGAGAGAGAGGGAAGAAGCCGGAGCGGAGTCGAGGACGAGCAGCCTCACTTAAGATTTGCAAGTTTGCTTAACATGCACTAGGCATAGTCTTGCAATGTAAGATGTAAGCTTTATATAAATATATCTTTGTCGATGTGTTATTTATTCACTTAGGACGTATTTATATTACGATTATGGTTGTCGTCACTTCTTAGTGTAATGAATTGCCAAGGAATTATAGAGTAAAGGCAGCCACAGCATTTAATTATGTTCTTGTCATATTAAATGTGAAGGGTTTTATCGTATCGGTGGTCGGGCGTCGTTCGCTACGTGTTATACTTTCGATAAATGTTGTAAATTTGTGATGAAAGGTAGCTCGTCGCTGTGCGAATACATACTTTGTATTAATGTTTAAATTTATCCTATTGTGTATCTAAGTATATGAAACACGTTCAAAATTCGCAATTGTCTTCCAGCCGGACGCGGGCTACCTTTTAGCTCACAGTTGATCGATCGCGTGCCGAGTGGCAAGAGTACTTGAACATTACAGATGTCGACGCGTTGCGAGTGTGTGTGTGTGTGTGCATGTGTGTATCGCCTATGTCGGTGTTCCGCACTATTTATACTAGGTCCACGATCAGAATCATTATTTATAGTTTTATTCACACTTATTTAAATTATATAATGGAGGGATTTAATCACATGGACGTTTTGTATTTATTTGGTCAGTGATGTCGTGATGACTTTTACAATTTTACATACAGTAGTGATCCCTGTATTTACTTAAGCAATAGTCACTCATTTTTCTTCCAGAAACAATTTTATTTTTTCTAGTATTTTTTACATTTTTAACAAAATAATTTAATAAACCGATGAAATTAACCTAGCTCTTGCTCGAGCAGGTCTCATTTTTTACCATATTTTTGCTTGTGTAATTAATTATTGGTAATTTAAATAAATTTTTGAAATCATTTTTGTAAAATAGAGGGTTAAGTTAAGTGTGTGTTTGAGACGTCTATGACCTTAGTCTCTCCCGTGGCCATGATTTCTGTAAAGCATTCGAAACGTCGGGAACCAAAAATCCAAATAAATCCGCGAAATAATCCGAAAAGATAGTTTTATTTAAAATGTCAAATATTCACGTAAATATAAGAAAGTATTAATTTTTGGTACCTTTAATAAACTTATGAATCTTAAAGTTAGGGCAAAATTACATACTGAATAGTTTATCGCTAACAAAACATATTTATCAATTCATTAATTTTATATATATTTTACAAGCACAGCTACTTTAGCTACTTTGAATAATTGTTCAAGAATTTAAGTACTAGGCAGAGACTTATATTAATTTTGTAGCAAAATTTAAAAAAATCGTAGAAAAAATTATTTTAGTAAATTTTAAAAATGCTTAAATTATGTTTATTTGTGATCGAAATATAATTTAAGGCAGTTGATCAACTGTACTATTGACGCCATCTCGTGACCAAAGACTGTCGGGACACTTCACACTGAGGATTCAGAGTCATAAATTCTACTTATACGAGTATGTAACTACGGTTGCGGGGACCGCGGGTGTGGGCCGCGGCAGCGTGCCGCCCGCGCCCGTGCGGGAGGTGACAGCTTTATTTTGTAAACTCATTCGCACAGCTACTAAAATAATGTCTATTAAAATTATTTTATTCTACACCAGCGTTTGTCCGATGTACATATTATGGGTTGTATTTTTTTTACGAATTTAATTTTAAGTTAATTTTAAAAATGTTTTAGCACCGATGTGGTCGGTGGCCGCGCGCATCCTCGCGGCCGAGGTTCCAGGGATATTTAGTTACTACATAATTTTTGAGCAATAAAGTAATTGTGAGCACTTAAGGGTCCGAACTGTAACATAAGCAAAATACTTTGTGAATCAACTCCTGTAGCGAGTACCTTGCATGTTACCGACATGTGCTTTTTGAGACTCTGTGTATTTTTGGGAAATAAAGGAATGAACTAAATCTTTTCTTTTACTTATTTAAAAATAATTTACTATATCTAAAGATGAACGATGAAATTCCTTATTCAATAGAAGTTAACTAGCGACGCCTAGCGGTCGTGTTGCTACGACCGAGTCGTGATTTATGTTCATTTTTCATTATCTATCTATAATTACCTAAATTACATATTACTTTCAAACTGCAAACAAATGTTATAACTATTGATTACTTGTGACCATGAAATACATAATGGACAAAACATTAACTAGCATATAAAAGCAACTTTCTGTAAACCTAATATTGTTAGACTTTTTTATATAAATATTGTTTAAAAAAAATTAAAAACAACCGTTTCGACAGACCACGCGGAGAGCTCTATGCTTTACCGATTTTTTGGACAAGAACTGTGACAATTCGACTAAAACACAATATAAATATAATTTACTAGCATTGCCCGCGGCTCCGCCCGCATTCAGATGACCAAAAGCCAATTACTTAGGTTTTACATATTAGTATACTCTTACATTGCAGTTTTTGTATTTTTTCTCAAAAATGAGACATATTCCCGCGGTAAAAAGTATCCTATATGTTGACCCGGATAACCAGCTATCACCATACCAAATTTCATCAAAATCCCTCCAGTGGTTTTTCTGTAATGCGGTAACAGACAGACAGACCAAATTCTAAAAACTATAGATTCGGCCTCTGTATCGATAATAATATTTTAATAAGATTATCCAAAAAATATTTAATGTACAGATTCGGCTTCGTTACAATTTTATTATATGTATAGATGTATTTTAATTATTATAGAACACATATTAATTACTAAAATATAAATATTGTGATCGCAGTTTTTATTGGTTAAAAATATTCAGCTATTAAGGAGTCTGCCCAAACCACCGTCTCATACCACGACCGTACTAGGATCTTGTCAGGCAAAAAATATTCTTTGTATTGAAAAGTATGAGACTCTGCCCACTAGACCGTTCCATCACCGACCGGCACCGTCGCGTGCCGTGCGCGGAGCGGTAACAATTGTCGGAGAGAATATTTTGCCGGTGCCGGTACCTTCTGTAGGTTCTAAGCCCGTTATAAACGTGTTGCCACTTGTCTTGCCACTTTCTTACCATCCGTTCAACAAGACGCACTTACACATTCGATGTTAAAATGGATGGCTATTATTGTTAATTTTTTCCTGGACCATTTTCTAATAGCCATCGTATAGGTATCTATACTAATATTATAAACAGGTAAAGTTTGTGAGTTTGTGACGTTGCAGGGGGTAATCTCTGGATCTACTAAACCGATTTAGATGAAATTTGGTAAGAAGATAATTTGAGACCCTGGGACATAGGATACTTTTTATCCCGGAAATCATTCCAAAAGGGGGGTAAAAATGGGAATGAAAGTTTGTATTGGGAAGCAAGCTAGGTACGAACCCAAGCGAAGCGAGGGCGAATCGCTAGTAGGAAATAATTTTCTTAACAAAAATATTTACGCGCTCTTTCTGACGCGTCTGCCGTGTTATGTACGAGTACGACACGCCATTGATACGTTCATAGCACGGTCATGGTATGAGACAGTGTAGTGGACAGACTCCTTTAGAGAGCGATATGAAATAATAAGATATTTTAAAGTAAATTCAGAATTTTATTCATTTTCAAAAGTATCCTTCAATATTTACAATAGAATTCGTCATGGCATCGCGCAGTCAGTTGAGCGCCAGCACGGAGGATGCGCCGAAGGGCGAGCGGTACGTCACGCGCAGGTCGCGGAACAGCGCGGCCGGCGGCGCCACGTTGGCGAGGTACAGCCGCCCCAGGGCCGCCGGCAGCGCGGCCGGCAGCCCGGCCAGCAGCGCCGCGCGCGCGCCCAGCCCCTCCCAGCCCGCGCCCGGCGGCTCCAGCGCTAGGGCCGCCGCCCGCGCGCGCGCCGCCCACGCCAGCGCCGCGCCGTAGCGCTCCTGCGCGTCGTCCAGCAGCGGGTCGTACAGCGCCAGTACCACCACGTCGGGCGCCGGCAGCGCCGCCGGCTCGCGCGCCACCGCCACGCCGTCCAGCTCGTACGCCTCCACCTCGCGCCGGAGCTCCTCGCACTGCTCCCCGCCCGCGGCGCCCGCCAGCAGCACATGCGCGCGCACGCCGTGCGCCGCCAGCACGCGCGCCGCCGCCACGCCGCAGGCGCCGGCGCCGTGCGCGCCCGCCAGCACCACGGCCACGGGCGCCTGGTGCGCGTTGCGCGCCTCCAGCCGGCGCACGCCGCCACTGAGGCGCAGCGCCACGTCCGCGGCGGCGCGCGCCAGCAGCGTGCGCGCGGCGCCCAGCAAGCGCAGGCGGCGCAGGCCGAGCCAGAAGGCGCGGCGCAGGCGCGGGCCGGCCGAGGGCACGCGGCGGCCGTCGTCGGCGCTGTAGACCACGGGGCCGGCCAGCTCGGGCGGCAGGCGGATGGCGGGCAGCGCGGGCGCGGCGCCCAGCACGTTCTCGTCGTGGCGAAAGCGCGCGGCGTCGTCGGCGGCGCGCACGACGTCGGGGCGCGCAGCGGCGCGCATCTCCTGCCACAGCGCCTGCTTGTCGAAAAGCGCGAGGTTGCCCTCGAAGTCGAAGTCGTCGTCGAGCGCGGGGTCGGCGGCTTCACCGAAGCAGGCCTCGTTGCGGCGGCGCGCGCGCTCGTGCGGCGCCGCACCGCGAGCCTTCGGCGTTGAGCCCGCGTTGCCGTAGCTGCCTGCAGGCGGACACGCTCGTCATGATACTTGACACTAAACATTGATCTCCTCCATATTAATCAAAAATTAGTTATAAAATTTTATAAGATAATATTAAATTACCCGAGTGATGGATATTTTTATTACTCCTCGCCCCCTGTATATCGATTGGCTTACTTCGGACGGGAGCCTGTGTGGTACCTCTCGAGGTTATCACTTTGTTTGTAGAATTGTTGTGCTGATTGCCTACAACAGTTTAAATAATAATGTTTAAGAGCAATTAAATGTAATATTTAATCTAATATCGATCTCGATACCATGTACCAACTTCGTTTTTCATAATAACCTTCTGTTTACAGCGGCACTCCGTACAGGTAACTTAATCATACAAACAATTTTGATTTGTTAATAAACATGTAAAATATCTTTGGATTGGTCTTAAAAATTGTCATGTTTCTACATGACATCCTATTAAAGTTGCCAACATATTATACGAGTACTCATCTAAAACTTCCAAAATACTTTAAATTTTAGGTTTTGCTGTATTTTCAGTTATTAGAATTGATAACTATCAATTTAGCAGCCTTTTTTATTTTAACTCTCTTGACTCATTTTCATAAACCAATAACTTCTATACATAAGGATGTGTGTAAAATTGAAGCATTGAGCTGACTTGACACACATAAAAGTGTAAGCAGTTATTATTAATAAAAGGAATATATTTCTTCATTCAAAGAGTGGTGGCATAATACATATTTAAGAATTATCAAAGCTGATAATGATATTTTGGAATCTCAAAATTCATTTAGATAGATTGGAGTGATACTAGCTTTTCACTTTCTCCTGAGACTGTTAATAGAATTTTTAATAAGAAAGTTGTAATATAAATATGAAATACCAGAATGTGAAGGATTAGCTTGTAAATTTTCACATACTGTGGCCCTTTGAACTTTTTTATTATTTTTTGTGACTGCCACTGTACTGTGAGTCTGCTCGGCTGGCTCTGGACGTGCTTCTTCTATTATTTTCAAATCTTTTATATCCGCAGCGCTATATAAAACATTTGTAGGTAAGTAGTGAATAAATAATAAAATAAAATTACAAAAACAAATACCAATTACAAAACTTACTTTAAAGTAACCTGCGATTTCGGATATGGAAATCCATTTCGAAATGCTTTTGTAAGTGTAATTGTATTGCCATCAGCCTCCAATATTGTACCCTGGTAGCAGCCCAGGGGCTCACCACAGTTAACGGACACGGCAAAGCCAACCCATTTAGACATTGTTACAACCTTACATAAATAAATACTTTTACAAATATTATATTTTTAAAAACTACTTTAACATGAATTACAGTATATTTATTCCTTATTAACAATACAATTATAAAGTACAAAAAATATCTTCATAATTTGCATGACTCAAGTTTTGACATTTACAACTTGAAAGTTGACACTTGACACTTGACATTGAAAATTGAAAAATATAGATATTAGATACAGACTATATTTAATATTAATATCATCATCATAGGTAGGGATTATCTACTATAATGCCACGTTTCCTCCATTTTATTATATTTATTAATCAAAATGAATTTAAAATTGTACTTACTTAAAGATTAGGGAAATTTCATGATTTGTATATGACCTCAACAATAATTATGCTGAAACATAATAATATTAATAATTTTATCTGGGAGTTTTTCAATACATTTGACACTTGACATTGTCACAATTTCACGCATTGCTAATTGCAGACTTTTATTTGTCATCCATCATACAGTATATTGCTACATATATAAATCATCCATGTTGCAGACTGCGGCTGTAAAAGTGCTGTCAGTTTGTGAATTTGGAATTGGATTTCAGAGCTCGTCATTTGTAGTCCTCTGATAGTGTACGGCAAAATGATTAAGGAACTATAAAATAATATACTGTGTTGTTATATTTCGTTAATGGATTCAAAGACCTATGTGTTTTATTTTTATAAAATATCTACAATTTCAGTATTTACAATTGTTATATAAATAATTGAAATGCAAATTACAAACAAGAAAAAAAATGCTAATAGAATGGTATGTTTTTGTCTCTAATTAATTTTGATAATTTAAGTGTTTTAGTCACAAATTTAAATGATTAAAATATTAATATTTGATTTGGAAGCGGAAGGCTAAAAGCGATGCGAGCATATTATAAACGGTTACATACATCGTGCTTTGTTTTATTTTATTTTAAATTTATAATAATTAATCATACCTTTAAGGTAAATAATTAATTAGAAGCAGGTAATGATAAACACAATTGACTTTCCTATAGAATAAAAAAATACTGATTTTCAAAAATTATAACATTAATTTTATGTACCTACCTATGCTTTCTCCATTTCTTTATAATCTTAATTCCTGCTGCATATAATTTGAAATATCAGTTGATTTGGTTATACTTATAGGCTAATTAAAGGACTAACTTTAGGTCTAGGTACAGGTTATAAACAGCACATGCCTTTTAGTGTAGGTACTGAAATAATGTCGTGAATCGTGATCATATCAAATACGATCTACCTACCTAATACTTGATGCTCTCACGATTTGACCAAATAAGTACAGTATAGTTCAAATATAAATCTAAACTAATACTATAAATGTGAAATGTCTTTGTTTGTTTGTCCTTCTTTCACGTCGAAACGGAGTAATGGATTGGCGTGATTATCGCGGGAGATTATCTAATAATCCAAAAAAAAATTGTTTTAGCATTTACAATACACATTACAAATTTACAAAAACGCTAAAACAATTTTTTAATATAGGGGGGTTAAATAGGGAATGAAAGTTTGTATGAAACTACCTTTTTAGAGATTTTTTTTGTTACTTTAGCGCGAGCGAAGCCGCGGGTTCTGCTAGTAAATAAATAAAAGGTAGTCATCAATAGACTATTTTACACAAATATATTTTATGAATAAGTTAAATTAATTCTAAATTTCCTTCCATATCTTCCCTTTTATTCATGTAGCTCATCGACCATCGTATACAGTGGCTTGATTGTCTTTCTCGGCAAAAAGATCGCGGACACGATACCTGCGTAGGGCAAATATCTATTTGAGTGTAATACCTATGCACTGCATGTTGCATGCCGACATGATCGAATTTGAGTTTGATAAAAATCCCAATTTGATAAAGATGTTTTGTAATTATTTCGTTTTTATAAAGTTCATAATTACTCTTAATACCGGGCACAATTTTCCTTTTAAACTGAGGCACTGAAAATAGCTTTTCGATTTTTGGGTTTTTAAATTTTTTTTATAAAGTTCTAAATGCATTTTATATGTATGTATGTAAGTATGTTAATGAAGCCCTTTATATAGCGAAATCTCAAATCATAAATAAAAACTGAGGTTTAAATAACTTTACTTTAACCCTTTTACACTCGAGAGCTACATAACTCGTAATATAATCTCGTCGAACGAAAAACTAACAGTACCCACCTATATTATATCAAGTAGCGCTATCACATTGAGTTACAATAAATGCGTTGCACATGTATGATATTTCACAGTACGATATCAATTTAGCTATATTTGTACGAGTATGTGTAACACATAAAATGTTTTTGAACATGATAATAATGGTCTGGCAGAGGCATGGTGAAGTTGTTAAAGAGAACGTATTCGAAGATGGGGTGGTCCCCCTGCGCTGGCTGGCGGCGGCGCTGGCGGCGTGCGGCGCGGCCCTGGGCGTGGCGCTGCTGGTGGACGCGCGCTTGCCCGCGCCGCTGGGCCGCGACGCGCCGCCCGACCGCTTCATCGCGGAGATAGCGCACGAGCACCTTGTCAATCTCACGTCTATTGGCCCCAGGGTGAGTAAGTCATTTTGTTACACGATACCCACTTACCACTCGACAGGGGTTGACACTTAATAGTAATATTGCTTCCTTAATCCCTCCACGACCGCAGACACGCTGGCGTATCAGTTAACAATAGATTTCTTAGAATTTTAATTAATTTTTTAGAAATTTACCTGGAGGTGATATCTAGTTTAAGAATAGTTCAACAGCTTTTATTTCAACATTTAGAGTTCCGTAGTCAACAAAGAACCCTTATGGTTTCGCCATTTCCGTCTGTCCGTCTGACCGCAGCTTAACTCAGACACGGACAAAATTTGGCACGGATATATTACGAGTATGTACATACTAGTTACACCGACAAAGTGATAAAATAAAATCTTGAGAAAAATGTTTTTCTGGGACCTCTATACATAATGGGAATGCCTTTTTCCTTTCTCATCTATCCCATGGTGTGGAGTGTCGTTGGAAAGGTCCTTACAAGTTTACGAGTAATAGTCGACCAACTTATAAAATGTACTTGTTACTATGATCCGTCGAAACCGTTAACGTTCATAGTATGAAACAACAAAAAGCCCTCTTATTAATTCGCCCTATTGTGATGGGCAACTACGGAACCCTACATTGTGCGTGGCCCGACGCACTTGGCAGGATATTGAATTCGTTATTGTTTATAGAACTAAATCACCGTTTATATTTTGTTTGTGAAACTAGTTGTTTTATTTATTTAAAATTATAAGTTAGGAATATTGTGTACATGGGACACTTATGTCTTGAAGGAGATCTCTCCCAGCGCCATCGACTATAGGAAAATACATTTATATATATCAAAAAAATGTGGTGTAGATAGGTATAGGTTTTAGGTGTTGTTTGTTTTATGAAGCTTGCCCTCATGGTGCACCGTTCACAAGTACAGTAGGCATTACAACCTGATAACGTGGGCCGTGGCCTGCGGCAGGTGGCCGGGAGCTACGAGAACGAGGTGCTGGCGGTGCGCGTGCTGGTGGAGGCGGTGCGGCGCATCGCGGCGCAGGCGTCGCCGCACAATGTCGTGGAGTTCGACGTCTTCTCCGCCAGCGGTGCTTTCTCCCTTACCTTCTTAGATGGTGTGTATGAAACTCTATCTGTCTATACTATTCTTTTATAAAAAAATAAAACTGAAGTAGGTTTAGGATAGATAGACTCTATATTCTATAGACAGTAGACATATTTCTTTGATATATTTAAATTATGGTACTTGCACTTGTAGTAATTTTGTTAATCTCGTTTGCTACAACACAAAATATGCAGATAAATTATAAAATAATTTATAAAGAATTTGAAATACATAATTATATGTATGTATGATACAAATATTTAAATTAGCTTTAAAAAATAAAACCTTGAAACTTAAGGTAAAAATAACACTTCATTTTCCTTGTTACTACATAATATGTTAGCGTTTGTATCCATTGATTTATATTCTTTATAATGTTGAGCTTATGAGTTATGATTCCAAGACATTTACTCGTGTTGATGTAACGTCATGATTACACAACGAATGCACTGGTCCGAGAAATGAGAATTATCTCATAATATGGTATTTATAGGTATACCTAGTTAGATATACATATCTATACAGATAAATAAAATTGAAGTGTATGTAATGTCAAAATGACGACTTTTTACTTTATGCATTAAATTATATACGGTACCTACTTATAAGATAAACAAAATTTTTAAAATGTTAATCTGTCTGTCTGTTTGTTCTGCTTAATCTCCGAAACTGCTGAACTGATTTTGGCGGGATTTTCACTGGCAGATAGCTGGTGCTATAAGAAGTAACTTAGGTTACTTTTATTTAAGAAAAAGAATTAGGGTTCCGCTCAAAAAAATTAAAACATACTACTACATATAATAAAATTGTAACTAAGCTGAATCTGTACATGATTTTTTTTTGGGAATCTTATTGAACTAAACATTATTATAGATACAGAGGCCGAATCTTTAGTATCTCATTTCTGAGAAAAAATACAAAAACTGCATTGTAAGAGTATACTAATATGTAAAACCTAAGAATTTGGCTTAAGTCATCTGAACGCGGGCGGAGGCGCGGGCAATGCTAGTAACAAATATAATGATGTTTTAATGAAACTTAAATGAAACATTAAAAAACTCCAAATGTTTAAATCTTAGCTTTCCTGCAGTAATTTTTGGTTAGTTAACAAACGAATTAACCTTAGGATTGATAAAAGGGCCAAAATTTTTTTTTGTAATCAGATGGATAATTTTAAGTATTTTCCACATCGCTGTCTTTGAAGACCGATTTTAGCCAAAGTAGTTTGTTTACTACTACTTTTTTTTAATGATTATAAAAGTTGAAAGTCTGGAAAACTTTTGAGACCTACTTAGGAACCATGATGTCACCTGTTTAAATTTTTAATTTAATGTTGAAAATTTAAGTCATAATTCACCAAACGTAAATTTTTCACTTTACAACAATATTTTCATAATTTTCATCAAAGTTAAGAAGCCGATTATTTTAAGAATAGAAGTACAACTCATGAAGATTCAGTTGCAAAAAAAAACTCCAAAAATTCTTCTACTTTTCTTAGAACTTTTTTAAATTGTTCAATTAGAAAATTCTCAAAAACTCAGAAAAAAAATCAACTCAAAAACTATAAACAATCGTAACATACTCGTACATGGGAGTGATTCGGGTTCCTCAAGGGGTGCTCTATCTCTGGACTTCCGCTTGACACTACTTTCTGGAACATCTGTACCTATATAGATAATTAAAATAAAATTTGTGGTTACTGTATTTGAAAATACTTGAAAACTAGCGACATACCCTTACCTCGCTCGGGTCCGGGTGCGTCCTTAGCTACGTTTTAAATATATTATGGTAGGGAAGCCTAAGAGGGGATTTTTGTAGTTACTCAAGCGCGGCAGATTAACATAAAAGAGGTTACTTTGCACTCTATTGAGTACTTTCACCATAATATAAGTTTTCTATATAAAGGCGCGCGTCTAGGGAAGCCGATCAAAATATTTAAAAAATGTTTTGATAAGGTAGAAATACTTGAAACCGTCAGATTAAGGTGTGGTAGGCTAGTCACATCGTGAAAAGTGTCCAATTCAATGATCTGCCGATTTGCACAAGCCGAAGAGCACAGATTACTTGGCCAATGTCACGTACAATGGAGGGGAGACGAGGGAGATTAGTCGATGGACTGCAGGCCTTTTGAAGACCTAAAATTTTCTAGTACATTGTTTTGGTGTATCTCATAAGATTTAGCTAGCGTTAGCTATGTAAACTAAACACGGCTTGACGGAACCAGTTATTGTGTTTTTCCCGTGGGGACGAAAGATTTTCCTGTAGTAAAAGGTATGCCAAATGTTGGCCCGAGTAATAAGTTATCACTACATGTTTTTTTTTCAAATTGCTTCATAACTTTTTGCGTGACTAACTGACAAAAATTTCAATAATCGTTGTTTAGGAGTTTTTCTGTACACAATAAGTAACTTAAAGTAACAGTTCTTGTTTTTTTTTAACATTTTATGTACAGATTTCGCTCTGTTACTATTTTATAATATGTACCTAAGTATACATTCTGACCAGTTTTTAAATACCTAAATGGAATGTAAAAAAGGAGAAATATCTTAAAAATATTCTATTGTAATTATTTTGCAATATTTTTTTTAGAATTTATCCTCCTGACCTAATTCGAACGCAGTCAGTCATAAGTTACGACGAATCGAAGCTGTAAATTCTAATATGTAATTAAATTTAGTTATAGCTAGGTACTCATTTTGCAAATTTAATGAAATAAACCTTCCGAGAGGAACGAGATGATAATAACGTATAATGTGCGGCGGCAGGCATGAGCAACATGTACCGCGACGTGCAGAGCGTGGTGGTGCGCGCGCGCGGCGCCGGCGGCCGCGCCTCTCCCGCGCGCTCCGCGCTGCTGCTCAACTGCCACTTCGACACCGTGCCCGACAGCCCCGGTGAGTCCCCACACACGGCGGCCGCGGCGCACAGCGGTGCGTTGTTCGTTATCAGATACAGATACCGCATAGTGCATGCTATTTAATAAACAATTTTTATTTATCTTGCTTTTTATGGAGTCAATAATATAATAAATGATATAATGAACAGCATCACGACAGAGTTTAAATAGAAACGTTATAGTGCCTACACCAAATCAAGATTTAGCGTATTGCTGATGTCCGCGTTCAATAATTTTTCCGTATTATAATTAATATTTACATTAGGGTGCTATCCTTTATCTACACAGATAAATGTAGTTGAAGTGTCTGTCCGTAATGTCAAAATCACGGCTTTTTACTAAATGCATGTGAAAGTGTGTACAGTACTTATAAGAAAAACACAATATTTTTTGTCTGTCTTTCTACACTCGTGAGCAAAAAAATCGACTCAGGACGCACGCTTGCGGTTAAAAAGCTCTAGCAAAAAGTCGGAAGCTTTTATTATATTTCTGATTTTAACATCTAAATATTCTTTGTTTTAGCTTTAAAATGAGTGGTCTATGTTGTTATTAAAAAATGTTTTCTGGTAAAGAAATAATATTGAATAAGATGGAGTCTTAAGCAATAAAAAAAGTGATGGTTGACGGTAAAGAAAATACCACGTAAAATTCGTCAAAACAATAATTTTATTAAAATTATTTTTTTAATATTTAGTGTTGCCCCCCCTGGCCCTAATAACAGCTTCCAATCGCTTTTTCATGGATCAAATAAGTTTCCTTACTCGATCTTGTTCGATGCTATTCCATTCGTCGATTAGCGCTGCTTTGAGGTCCGCCATCGTGTCTGGTGCAGGATTTCTAGCCAGAAGTTTTCTTTTAAGATCATCCCACAAATGCTCGATAGGATTTAAGTCCGAGCTACGCGCTGGCCAGTCCATAGCGGCAATTGCGACCTCCTGTAAATACTGCCGGACGGAACTTGCAGTATGTGGACGGGCATTGTCGTGCACTAGGACGAAGTTTTCGCCAATGAAACCGGCGTAGGGAACGACGTGATCCTCTAAAATCTCTTCGATGTATCGCATCGCCGTCAATCCTCCCATTCGACTGCCAGTTTCAATAAAAACTAACTCGGTTTTTGCCTTGCTTGAAATGCCGGCCCACACCATGCAGGAACCTCCTCCAAAAGCAACATTTTCTTCGATACAGCACTGCGCGAATCTTTCCCTAGGTCTTCTGTAGACTCGTTCTCTTCTATCACTACCATGCAAGCACACTCTACTTTCGTCTGAGAAGAGAACGGTGCTCCATTGTTCGTCAGTCCAATCAACATGTTCTCTAGCAAAACGTAGGCGGGCTACTCGGTGGTCTGGGGTTAATTTGGGGCAAGTAGCTGGCCTTTTTGGCTCAAGCCTAGCTGCCTTAAGTCGTCTTCTGACTGTCCAGCCACTCACAGCTACTCCTCGCGTTTCTCTGAGCTCTTGTTGAACTTGAACGCCAGTGAGGGCCCGATTTCTTAACGATGTGCTGACAATAAATCGGTCATCTCTCTGTGATGTGCACCTTTTTCTACCGGAACCGCGTCTTCGATTAAAGCCACCAGTCTCCTGGTAACGACGGTAAACTCTGGAAACAGCAGACTGGCTCATGTTCAGTGCACGTGCCACTTCACGCTGACTCTGGCCTTGTCGCAATAGGGTGATCGCTTGAGCTGCTAAATCGCTTGTTGTGTCCATTTTCAGGTAGAATTCTTGATTGTTGATAACGGAGATGTGTATCGGTTGACGTTTGACGGCTAACTGATAAGGGTGGGTCAGGTAGATAACCTTTTATATGGGTCAGTAACCCTTAATTAGCACTATTGTAAACAAGCGTAAAAAGGGTGGTTACTGATCACAACATATTGTTGGGTTGTGTGAGCAATAAACCTTACAATATTTTATATCATTTTGAATATAATACTAGCAGCTTTAAGATTTTACTATGAAAAAAATATATTTGCTTTCAGTTTTTTTTCCAGTGACTTGCGACTACAGATGTGTCGCCTGAGTCGATTTTTTTGCTCACGAGAGTATTTGTTCCAACTAATCTCCGAAACGGCTGGACTGATTTTAACGGGACTTTTAGTGGCATATAGCTGATGTTATAATGAGTAACTTAGGCTACTTTTATTTTCGAAAAAGAATTAGGGTTCTGCTCAAAAAAATTTAAACGTACCTAGGTACCACATGCACCCACTCACGTAAACTCTTTAGAGGAAAAAGTAATATTCAACTTTAAAATAAAAAAAAAGAAAATAAGTACGTATATTAAGTTTTTTTGAAAATCGTCCTTTAAAGAAGTAGAACGGTGTGATAAAGTTTATAAGCCTGTGGTACAATACCTATAGTGCATGTCGTGACGCCTACAAATGTTAAACATTTTTCTATATTTCGTGTTAAGTTTTTTAGATAAGATGTTATAACTGGGTCTTGATGTCTTGTAAATAAATAAATATGGGGAAAATGTTAATGATCTGGATTATTTGAAACTTGGCATTATTTCAATACAATTAAATAAACATAGGTTTTACAAACACCAACTTATTTTTGCAAATAATATTTGGTATTGCGAAGGCGTAAAATATATTTAAAATATAATAAAATATATTTTAGTGCGTAAATACATATGACACAACGTGATATTCTACGGTACGGAACCCTTGATGAAAATCATACTCGCACGTTTGAAAATGATTGCAGCCATCAAATTATTAGTTTAAACTAAACTATTAGTAGCTTGCTTCCCCATACAGACTTTCATCCCCATTTTCATCCAATTAAGGTATGATTCCGGGATCAAAATATATAAATATTCGGATAAAAATATATACTATATAAATTTCCGGGATAAATATGTCCTTCCCAGGGTCTCAAACTATCATCTTACCAAATTTCATCTAAATCGGTTTAGTAGATCCAGAGATTACCCCCTGCAACGTCACAAAGACAAACTCACAATTCACAAACTCATAAACTTTACCTCTTTATAATATTAGTATTCACACGCAACCACGGTCCGGGTCGGTTCGCTTACACCACTCTTTATATTATTTGTTTTTGCCATATTACTCAGTCTACGAAGTTATCATTTACTCTCCGCGCAAACCCTATACGTATAGCCCAGCCAGAGCGCCGACATTGGTAGATTGACGTATAAATATTGGTATTGTATATTAAAAAAACATCTTATAGAAATATCACGCAATAGATTACGACACAGTCGCGGTTCCATACCTACGAGTATGTTGTTTTATCTCTTTAACCATTGGTCCATTTTTCCGAATTATATGCAGTAAAAGGGAAAAGTCTTGTTTTAAACATTTTAGATGATAAATTTATTTATTTTGATAAGAATTCATAATTGTTGATAATATGACCAATAAACATGACCCACTGAATTAAATAATTTTTTTAATATAAAAAACTACTTTTTGTGACTTAAATATAAAAGTTAGTCATACATATGCTGTCATTGAGATTTTTATAGGCATTATTAAGCTCTACAACTTTTCTTTAGTACATAATAATATATCTCTCATCGTTAAGGCAGCGTTCGTAAGAAACGTTTTTGTTCGACCGTTTTTTCTCCGACTTTGCAAATCCGACTACCATGAAAAAGTCTTTTCATTCTTCGGGTTAATATATAGCCTATTACACTCAGAAAGAACGTGGCTTTCTATTAGTAAAAGAATTTTGAAAATCGGTTCAATAGATCCAGAGAAGGGGGTAACCTACAACGTCACAAACTCACAAACAATTCACAAACTTTACCTCTTTATAATATTAGTATAGATAACATAATGCCTAAGTGTTTTTTTTTTGTAGTTCGAACGCGGGCTAAGCCGCGGGATCTGCTAGTTACTTAATATATTTCGCGTAATTTGAGTAAAATATATTTAAAGCTCCTCGATGAAATGCATTTATGAGCGTGATTTCATTGATACAGATGACGCCATGACGCCACAGATTGACGCCACGCTTGCTCGCATTAATTGTATCCAATGAATGCAAAATGAAGAGGGCACGCCTCGACACGCGGCGCCGCGGCGGAAAACATCCCTCGCATTATACTCAATGTTAACTAAATTCTTAAGCATATGTAGAATAATCGTACATGTTGAGATAAAGCCGGGGACGGGGAGCCAGCACTTGACAATAACATCATATAGGTACGTAACACCAGCCACATCGAGTTCTGACGAGGAGGTAGATCAGCTCTAAATTTAGACGCACCTCCTATTCATTTGTAAGTGCCTGTCATCATCATCGCGTTTACTCTGCGACAGTTATAGTCCCAATAATTTAGCAGCACTATTGGATACGTCGCGTCGTTCGATAAACGATTTCGTAAATACAATAAAAATTAACAACTCTTACCATAATAACAGTGACACCTTTAAAACATGAATGGAGTCCTTACAATAAGCTCAGATACGGTACGGTGTTTGTAGAAAAACAGTAATTAATCAATAAGTAAACAATTAGGTACACGGAGTCTCACATTGTCTTACTGAAGTTCCATTTTATAGGTAAATACGTAACACAAATATATTTTTGTCGAACCCGATGAGCAGTAGTGAATTTAGGTTCGATGGCGCCCTAGGCCCGAGTCGATATGGCGCCCTTTTTCTTTCGTAACAGTATAGATATGTACATATGTATATAGAATAGTTATTTTAACAACGGAGTTCTACCCTCGAGATGGTACTAGTTTAGATTGTAAAAGCGCAAGAAAATAAACTTTAAAATTTGGTCTTACAGCTTACAGAAAACTCAATAGATTTTTAATTTTAGTAGTAATAAAAATCCAGACTCGCACTTAGCCGATTTTAATAAGAGTTGTTCGTTGCGTAAGCGGATGCGAAAGGGGTTGGATCTACATCATTTCGTCCGCCTTCACGCTTTTCAATGAAATGTATAAAGATTAAAGATATAATGCATTTAGGCGCAGACGTTTTAATTCTATTGATGTACTGTATGTGTACATCCCCTAGTTACTGCCAGGCAGGGCTCGAAACGATAATTATCATAATAAGTATAGGTTGATAATTATCTATACTT